TCCCCTCCCCCCCCCTCTCCCCTTCCCTACCCACCCGTCCCCCGACCACCCATTTTTCCACCCCCTCAACACTAGCGATTATTATTACGACGGAAATCGCAGCAAGGATACAGCCTCACTCACGTTATATTATTCATTGGAATTATTCATGCGTTCCTCCGTAGAAAATCTTTTGTGCAGGACTTCCCGTCTAGATCCTCGAGGAGAAAAAAATTCCTATTTATGAGAATTTTCCACTTAAAAAATTCAAAAAAACAAAAAAAATCAGATAGATTGATTGATTAACCCATTAATCAAGCTCCAAACATCCCATCATCAATTCCAAAATCCCCGGAAACGGATGAAATTTCTCCAATTTCTATTGACCCGAATTTACCATCGATCCACCTCCATCAGCTCCCAGATACTATTGAAGTTCAATGAAAGACAATTAAAAATGTTAAGAGCTCTCTAAATTTTGCATGAGTCGAAATTGAGATTGAATCAAGCTGTGAATTCAATTATTCAAGACCTCAACAAAGTTGACGGCAACTTCTCTGCATATTTTACGCTGACATCTCCCACTAACGGCTTGTTGGGTGTTACAAACCAATTAGCAATGATTACGCCGACCAATTATATGCCTTCAATATTATATGACCAGGATTAACTCGAAACAAAGAGTTAGTTTGCTTGAATTTCTCTGCTCTCACTCCTCGCGCTCCGAAAAACGGACTCAAAAAAAAAAATGTTTCAGAAACCCAATGAAGTGGAAAACTGGGTCATTTGATAGGAACAATAAATCCACAGTTGCATTTCAACACAGTCGACCTCACAGTTTTCCCACTGTAAATTTATTCACCCGACTTAGGAATGCGCATATATGATTCCTCCTCTGACACCTACTCTAGGTAAATCCCAAGGAAAAAAATTCTTTTTCAGAGATATCCTGTCCAATAGATTGAATCTTCTTCGGAAGATGAGGGAAAATGCGAGAACCTTTTTTTACCTGTTCCTCATGAATTAATTCACAATTTCTTTCATTAATGATGGAGGGGCTAATTGAGATGGATAGAGCTGTATTTTTTGCTTGTTATACTTGTTTGTTACTTACTGTGGAGGGATTGGAGGTTGAGGATTGTGAGCGTCATGAGTTTGATGATCAGAAAAGGTGTGAACCTTATAATGATCTTTGTGGGTGACAGCCTACAAAACCCAAACTCATAATAAAGCTCATAACTTGGGGAAATCAGACTCAAGCTGTGAGTCACTCGTGACTCACAAAAGTCGAGGTGATAATATTACCTAGCTCATAGCTCATAAAGCTCAAAATCATATTCAATTAATTGTTTTCAAGACACTCACAACTCACAAAACTGGAGTTCATAATAACGCATCGGTTATAACCTTCAACACTCAAATTGATTATCGCCTCATAAATTATGAGTTACTCATAACTCAGAAATGCAAACTCTTTATGAAACTCATAGAGTAATACATAGTTCATATCTCGCAACACAAAATCATTATTGACTCATCAGTCATGAGTCACTCATAACTCATTACACTCGAGCTCATAATAATCCACAACTTATAAAGGTCATAATAATCCACAACATTCAGTTTATACTCACAATCAGGATGAGTCGAATTGTTACAAAATATACAACTCAGAAATCAGAGCCCTTTTATGACTTCATGAGCCGCTCGGAATTTTTTCCGATGAAGATTCATTTGCAAAAGCTCAATAGCTCAGAAAATACTCAAACGAAGCTCACATAAATTACGTCATCACATTCCCGAGTAGATAATCAATTCAACTAATCTGGAGCTTTAATCCCCTCGACCATTGCCACTCTCAATGAGAATTTATTATCAATCAAATGAATTTACAAATCAATTGAATCCGAGTAAAAAAAATATGAGAAAAAAAGATGGTGCAATAAAATCGCTTGAGAGGACAATTTCATGATCAAGTAATACCGGAGTGAATATAAAACTCGAGAGTCGTCGAAGGGTGTGGATGATATTCCAGGTTCATTCAAAATCGATAAGATCACGAATAATCGTCTCCACTGAGGTATAAAGGACGCTCCGAGCCGTGATAGAAAAAAAAGGGGGACATTTTTTTTTTTCAACTCCGAGGACTCTCGCGTAATTGCCAACCAATGCCATTCGCTCCGGCCTATTCAATTTTTTAACTTTTCCTTTTAATAGGTGAACTAGGAGAAATGGGAATGGGAGACAATAGCTAACTAGGGGAAATGGAATCATTCGGCGAAATCGGCAACAGGAGGGACAATATGAAAATGCTAATTGAGGGAATAAAAACGTTATGAGGAGCAGCAAATATCCACTTCATTAAATTTCTCGGGTTTTTTTTTGTTGCAGATGCTATGAACAAACTCACTGAGCAGATGGCGGGATCTCTCAGTAGAATCGGCGGACCGGTCTCATGGGACAAAATCCCGGAGGGCGCCAACACGACCTCTACTACTAAGGTACAATTTCAAGACTTTTTTCTACTGTTTGGAGTCTTTCTTCTTTCGCCGGGTTTTCCATTTTCTTTAATGTGGAAGAAAAATTGGCAGAATTTTTGAAGTATTTGAGTCTGAGAGGAGATGAATCGATCAACTTATTATTATTAATCTTTTAATCTAATAATGGATAGGTAAAAACTAATTTACAGCTTGACTTTTTTGGCTGTTGTGCGTTTATTTCAGAAATTCATAGTTTCAAAATAAGAAGTGGGTTTTTTTTGGATAAAAAGAAATTTCTTATTATTAAGATGATATTATTCTCATGGGTTTGAGATTTATGAGCGGTAACTCGTGATGCTCACACTCATATTTTCACTCACAACTCGTCACTCACAAAATTCTAGTTTATGATAATAAATACATCATAATTCATAAAGTTCAAACTCAATGCCAGACTCATGAATTAGGAGTCACTCACAACTCACAAAACTTGAGGTGATAATAATCCACAACTCATAGAGCTCATGAACTGAAGAGAAATTCAGGTGAAAATTTCTGTTTGAATTGGCCAATACGTTGTAAGTCATCACCAATGATTTCCACAGGTTCGATTATAACATTTCAAATAGTTTCGCAACTCCTCAAAATCAATACAAATTCATTAAAATTTCCTTTGACGTCAAGTCCCTTCAACTACTCCCAGTAATTTCTCTTTCACATTTTTTCAATGTTTCTTCCCTTTACACTCTCTCATCCACTCTTTTGTACTTTTTCTCCATTTGCTCCACGTTTTTCGGTGAAAAAGACTGAAAAAAAGTCTTTAATAATAACATGGGATGTCCGCCAATCACTCTCCTCTGTTCCTGTTCCGTACTAAAAATTCGATCTCCCCCTCCCGTCCCGCCTCCTCCCACATCTCTCAGCGTCATATTCCTCTTTTATACAGAGAGGACTCATCGAGTCCAGTCCAATACAAACGAAAATACAGTGTTGCAACGTGAGGGAGAATTAAAAGAGAGAAAAAGGCGAAAATAAAGAATAAAAATGGGGGAGGAGAACGATGTGGAAGAAAAAAGGAAATACGGGAGAGCCTCTCCACTTACTCAGGAACGAAAGTAACACACCGAGAACAGTGTAAAAAAGGGGGAGGGATTAAAAAAAAGGGGGAAAAGCAAAGAAAATAAAATCAGTGATATCGCGTGACGCCGGGAAATTTTCTGTATTAAACGAAATACCCAACCGTAGTAGGGAAAAAAAAACTAAGAAAATAAAATAGAGCCGTAATTGCCGGGGAAAAGAGCTGCCGTTTTCCATGATGAAAAAATAAGAATTTTTAATTTTTCATGTTTTGGGGAATAGCATAATTATTTGCAGTATTATTATTATTATTATTATTATTATTATTATTATTATTATTGGTATTGTTGTTATTTTTAAAGACTGTTTCTTACCGTTGTGGTTACAGGAGGAAATGAATTTTAGAAAAGTGTTATTCCTGTTATTATTTATTGAAAGTTATATTCATAATTTCGAATTTTCTTCTTTTCTTTAAACTGTTATATTGGATACTCATAATTCTCAAAGTGTTGTACATTCGATATTGTAATGACTCAAACTCATATTATCAATGCTCGAATAGAACCTACAACTCAAAGTTCTATTCCTCGCGCTCATAATACCCAAACCATCATATTCTTGATACTCACAGGACTCAAACTCTGATATCAGACGCTCCCAGAGCTCAAACACCTGTTTCAAACGCTCACAAGGCTCAAAAATCCACAACAAACTGAAAAATAATCTCGAAAAAAATTGACTCAAAGAAGAAAAGCAATTCGTCTTTCTGATCTGAATCACTACCTCTTTGCAGACTATATTATCCTTCGAAAACTCATGCAAATTATACTGACACATTTAAACAAATTCACTTCTCTCGTCTCATTGCGCATCACGAATTGTCTCCGACTCCTTCAAATTCATTACTTCATCTTTTCCTAGTGTTCTAACATATATTTTCCTCTTATTCCACAGGTGATTGATGGTCATGTTGTAACGATAAATGAGACAACATACAACGACAAAAGTGACGACGGCAGCTCCTTCTTCCGCTTTCGCATTATAGACGTGAAGCCACAGGATGACGGAAACGTACCTGAGGACAGTGGTGAAGTGACTGATAAGCCGTCGACTGATAATAAACCAACCGAGTCAACCAAGGAGGCAACAACACCAGCGAGAAGTGTCGAGACCGTTGAGGATACTGGCAACAATGAAATACCAGACACTCAAGTTGACACACTCAAAGCCTGAAATCATTCCGCAATATCTCTGTCGTATTTTTACTTCTTAATTTTTAACTGGAGATAATTCAATATTGTTTATGAGGTCATTCAGTGAAACGTTATGAGTTTGTTAATGCGTAATCAAAAAAAATTTAATTACACTCATTACATTTCACAAACCAAATTCATATGATTGTTTTATTACTGTTGAAGGCTATTATTCTATTATATTCGTTTCCATACTTTATTCTTAATCGATTAAGCGTAACTTTGATCGATTAGAAATGATATTAATTACCGATAATTGCGTCGTTTACTTTTAATTTTCAATTGAACTACTGGAGAATTTTTCGCGTTGTGAATCTATATCTGATTATGTGTTTGTTTAGTATTTTAGGGAGAGTGATGTTTTTTATTTAAATGGCCATTGTGATAAGATGTTAATAAAAGTGTGAGATATTTAAATCATCCGAGTTTTTTCTTTATTGCCAACTACTACTGTGGACTCGTTTGTTTTACGCACGAAAATATTTCGTTGATAAAAATAGCGATTTTTGTAGAAAATTCTATTGGATCTTTTCGTAGAAAATGTCCAATAGAAACTGTTGGATTAAAAAATCACTGAAATTTTGAGAAAAAAACGCGTTCTTTACAGTTTCTAAGCAAATTTTCGAGCAAAGTTTTTCCACTCTTATTTTTCTGTTGTCGCAAATAAAAACAAAAAACAGAAAAAAAATTAAGAAAAATGGAAAAAAATAGTTGTACAGAAAATTCGAATTCTATAGATTATTCAAGGAAATGTTTCCGGACGTGTTCATTTCCCTCCGCTACTGCAAAAATCTGTATCAGAATTACACGGAAGTATTTATAAAAATATTCACAGTTGATGAACAACTACGTTTAAAAGAGGAATAACAAACAACTTGTTTACTTTGTTTTTTCAATTGTATTTATTTCACTCCATTTCTTGTTTTCATAAACAACTATACATGTCACACAATAGCGTGTATAAATATAAATGACTGTCCTCAAAGAGGCTGATGAAACAGTATTACAAAATGTGATGCAATTTCCATTACAAAAATCGGACGTTTTCGTTGATTATTTATAAATAATCGGTTGACGTAATAAAAAGATGAAAAATGGGGTTTCGCTTCAAGCTGTTGCATGTCCCGTCTGCTCTCTCATTCGGAATTTTTTTTACTATTCGCAGTGGAAAATTGTCGGGGCTTGAGGCGATTGCAGACTTTCAGAGTTTTTTTTTGTTGCGATTTGAGCTTTATTGACATTTTGTTAATTTGCCTTCCGTTATGGGGATTAGAGGGATCGGAGGGTTTTGTCGATGTGACGCAGTGTTGCCTCGGGAACAGCGTCTGTGAGGGCGCGACGGAATCCGTCACACCTTGAGAGCCTTTTAAACATTGATTTTGCGTGATTTCTGGAATAAACAGAAAATCATTTTAACAGTTTTCAATTTAATCCCATCATATCTAAACTGCACCTGTCAATTCTGGCATGTAAGAATGTAGTCTGTCTTAAAGTGTTCGAAATGTTATTGACTCACGCACGAAAAAATTTAATAGAAAAACGTAGCGAGTTTTTGGCCGATTCTATTGAAATATTCAATTGAAAAAAGCAACAGAATTCGATTTTTCAATGAAATTTCTTCCGCTCAAATTTTCAAATTTTTTTGCTTCTGAATTGACACATTGTATTTGTCAAATCTGAAATTTCCACATTTTTGTGTGACGATGACTAATTCTGATCTCAAGAGTTCGAATATGCTGTTTTCAGATCATTCAAAAAATAATCGTCGAAATCTCTGCAATTATGGCTCAAAATATTCGTTCGGTTTAGTCGAAATTTCGTCAAAGTTTAGTCAGGTTTTAACCAAGGCTTCGCCCAGATTTAATCAATGTTCAGTGGAGGTTTAAACCAGTGTAATTTCAATTTAGTTGGCGTTTGCTAGACGTTTAACCAGAGCATATGGAGCTAATGCTAGGAACTTGGGACATTTAGGGATCACATTAAGGTGTCATGGCCTTTGTCATTACTGTGAATTCCGACTCACCTTGCGTCTAAATTCCCGTCCCCAAGTAGTTTCGCCCCAGCCCCAAGTAACTTATCCCTCACCTCCCTCGGCAGAGACATCACCACATCAGCCCCAACTCGATCGACAACGGATGCCAGTAACCTGGCAGTTGCCGCACGCACGACTGCATTCTGATGACTGAAAACGCAATGATCACCGTTCAACAATGTATAAAGCCATTCAAAAATGAAGCCATTGAAAAATGATGATGATGTACCTGGCACCACGGTGAACAATAACCGTGATTGTTTTATGAGGTGGAATGTGTTCGATCATGCGATCGAGAGCTGAGTTGCTGTCAGCCCTGAGGAATTTGTTTGTGTCGGCTGTTCTCTGGAGAAGGGGACCCGCAATGTCATCAAGGTCCTGGGGAGAAATATGAATATTTGATTACGAAGATGTTTGTTGTTGGTTTATTCATCGTTGTCTGTTATTTTTGGGAACGAGAACAGTATGAAAGCCCAGCGAAAGCGAATATTTGGCGCAATGAGGGAAACTATTTCGAGGATCAAACAGGAGAGCAAGAACACGTATGAAACAATTTCCTTGAAAAACCCAGCGAATTTGCTGAAATATTCTGTTGCACCTGTGTTGAAGATTCTATTAGTTTTCGGACGATTTCAATTTCAGTTCGACGGAAAATGTTATGTAGAAAAAATGAATGGAATCCGGAACTAAAAACTTGGAAATTAATGCCGACTAAGGGCGATTCTTGTACGAGAGTTCAATCACCGGCTATCGAAAAATTGCGATGCTTGCGAAAATCCAACGAGGACGGAGAATGAAAGATTGTCCCACAAAAAATTATTTCATTGAAAAATGAAATTCCACTGATTTTTTCTGTCAAATAGTTCCTACAGGACATTTTCTATTTAAAAAAGTGGACACTAAAGCTGTGGAATTCATCAATAGAATCGTTCAAAAACTATTAGAAGGTTCACCAGAAATCTACCAGAATTTTCTATCGAATTAGCAATTTTTTTCTACAAAAAATTATTTGATAGAAAAATTAAATTCCACTGATTTTTTCTATAAAATAGTTCCTACAGGACATTTTCTATTTAAAAAAATGGACACTAAGGCTGTGGAATTCATAAATATCGTCCAAAAACTATTACAAAGTTCACCAGAAATCTACCAGAATTTCCTCTCGAATTCGCTATTTTTTTCTACAAAAAACTTCGAACCTTCTGAGTACTTCCCTCACCTCCCGTTTTACCCTTCGTTAGCCACCGTGTGACCACAAAAAACCGTCTTCTGCATTCCCTGAATATTCACGTCACCTATTCTTCCCCAAAACGTTAAAAAACTTCGATTGTAAAATCGGAACTTCTTTTTTCAAAGTTCGGAAATTCCGTTGCCGAGTTCTCGTGCAGGGTGATAAATACAGCAGTACATTTGCATCACACGTGGGGTGGTAAACAGGAAATTTGCTCGAGGGAGGACAGCTCCATGAATTATTCACTGAATAACTCAATTTTTACGTACGAAAACAAGGAATTTAATATTTACCTGATCAATACAGCGTGCCTGGGAGCCGAAGACATCGCCAGCAGCTAGACAAGCAGTTCGAGCCACCTGGGAGCGCAGGTTTCTGACGTGCCGGCCTAATAGGCGACCGACAGTGCCCGGGGGACAGCTGTCTAACTGATTAGGTTGTTGTCTAGCTATTGTTGACAAAGACTTTAATCCTCTAATTGTTATTTCCCTGGGAGAATAGATGAAGAAGACAATTAGGAGAATTGCTGATCAATGGCGAAGCAATATCGACAGATTGACAACAAAAAACTGCTTTTCACACGAGAATTATGAGCGTCGAAATGATCATTATGAGTTTTGTGAGGGCCAGGTGCGATGAGAATCGAAAATGTAACGTTTTGGGCCTTATGAGCGCCAATTGTGTGACTTTGAGTCATGTGAGCGTTGAAAATGTGAGTCTGAGTCTTCTGAAGGTCGAATATGCAATAGTTTGAGAATTATGAGCGCTCAATTGGGCGTTCTGAACCCTGTGAGCATCAGGTGTCACCGTTTGGGCTTTATCAGCATCGAATATTGGAGTTTGAGCAATGAGAGCAATTGAATGTGGGGAAATAACAAAATTCAGGGATTATGAGTGCGGCGTCGGTGAAGTGCGTGCAGGAAAGACTGAATAGAGAGAATAGGTTTAAGATTGAGTCTACGGACTTTTAGGAAAATAAGAATGTTATGAATGGTTGAATGGGGTTACCAATCATGAATTATTATTCATCTTCGGGTGAATATTTTTGGGGGAATGAGTGACTTGAAATTTTATGATTTTATAGTTCATTCAGTTATGACAATGATCGAGAAAATATTGATATTGAAGAAAAAGGGGCAGCAAACGAAAAAATCAAGCGTAAATTTACCAATCATTGCTTTCCAACTGCGAAATACACTGTAGGGTAACTGGTTTAAATCTCGCTGGTGTCTTGTCCGCATGACTACCAAAAGGTGTAATTTTGTTGACACCGGGACGTGATTTTATACGACTCCGTGGAACTCGGGATGGTAATCTCTTGGTGGTTTCAATCTCGTGGATTTTAACGACATCCTGAACCACTCCGCTCTCACTCTGGGGTGTCGTCTGACGCTGGACTTTGCTGATCGTAACAACGTGAATGTCCTGGGTCTTTGGAAGCTCCGTGAAACTCTCACTCGTTGCCTGAAATTGGATTAATCCATGTTGATTAATTATTGCTGTGAAATTTCCAAGTTTACTGCCACCAACTTCCAGTCAAATCTCGAGATTTCGAGAATTTAGGCTTCATAAATTCCCAATTGTGCCTCTAAATTTTCATTACGAATAACTAAATAGCGACAAAAGATATTTCTCCTCGAGAAATTTTTTATGACAATATTACTGGGGCGTGCAGAGCGTATTTTTCCAAAATCTAAAAAAAAGAGCTGCAAAAAAATTGTGGCAGAAATGGAGAATTGCGGGTGAAGCAAATGGAATTTATTTCCTTGAATTCTCTGAAATACAGACCACTGTAACTTGCTCGGTGGTGACGTCAATGGACTCAGTCCCCTCGAAGGTACGTGAAACTTGAAAAATTGAAGCTGAAGTGGTGGTTTCGTCGGCGTGCGACTGACGGTAGTCAAGTGGCTGAAACTCAGGCTCTCGATACTCAGCTGTAGTGGCACGTGAATGGGGACGTGAAGCAACGATTATAGATAGAGAATTAACAGCACTAGTCGTCTTATCGTTTTCCACTGATGATGATCGTCCATCTGGACTCACTTCTCGGGATTCCGTCTGCTGGAAGTGTGTCTTTGTCTCGGGATAAATGGAAGCCCTCACCCTCGACTCAATATCTATCTTCACTTCGGTCGAATAACCTCGATCAAATTCCTGTAATTACCGGCGATTGTTATCACCACAATTCCATTTCAATTGTATTCATGAAGATCAGAAGAGCCAGATGAGGTAACTAAATGTCATTTGATGATTACATGACACATCGTTGTTAAATTGTACTAGACCGGGTATTTGCTTGTGTTCATAAATACATTATAAAGATAAATGACGAGTGAATTAAATTAAATTAATGAATTAAGTTGAAATTGATGAAGAATTTTGAATCGAAATAGGGGAAGTCTTATGAACTGATTTTCCAGAAATTAATGAGATTCATGGAATTCATGGAATAGTTTGGGAACGATGAGAAATAGAATAGGTCAAGTCGTTCAACTGATTTCTGAGCAAATTGATACCATCAATTCGGTTTAACTCGAAAAATAATTAAAAATGGAGTTATCACCAATTAACATCTTCCCTTCCATCACAAGAATCAGTCAAACTCATTCTAAACCATATTTAACTTACTAATGATATGTCCGGGCCATCCCCTGTGTCAGTGCCAACGCTCTGCTGATCAAAGGCAATCCCCTTGATCCCGTTAGTACGCACTGGACTGCCACTTATCCTCGTCGTTGAGTCCGTCGAGTTAGTCTCATTCGAGACAACCGAGGAGGCAGACCTCACCACTCTCACTGGCTCAATCCTCTCGTCACTGTCATTAGAACCTCCCGATTTCTCCGAACTATCCTTATCCTGGTCCGTCGAGTCCGTGCCACTCGACAAAATATTTAACGCCACCTCAAACAATCGCAAAACCAAATTACCAAAAACCAAAGGACTTTTTCCATTTTTTTCATATCTCGAGAACCAAGAGGGCAAAATGGGTCGTCATATTGAGTTTTTCACCTCAAATTTCCCGGCCCATCCGTCCCCCATGTCATCAAAATCACTCGCCAACAATCAGAATAATTTTTCGCCTTTTTTTACCTCAATTTTTCCATAATAGCTACTCTCCAATGAATGATTTTTTTTTTAATTACCTGATCAATTAAATTTTGTCTCGACGGATTGGTGGCATCAGTGATGACATCGAATGATTTATCCCCGAATGTATCACCCCCCTCATTGGACTCGTCACTCCCATTATCGATGATTCTCGTTTCAGTCTCACTCTGATCCACTCCACCATTGGACGAGTCACTCAATGTACCGTAAGGCACATGATCGGTACCTTTTTGGGAGGGGTGGTACAATCAAATTACGTTAGAAATTGAATTACTCCAGAAGCGTATACGAGAATAAATCGAATCAATCTAGCTATCCCTTCTCCTTTGTTCCCATCCTCCATTCATCCCTCTTCTCGCCCCATCCCTTATCCTACGGGGGCCCCTGACTCCTTCTTGCACCCATTTACTGAGGCCTTTGTCGTTAAGTCCCCACCCCACCCCCCACCCTAAGTTCAGTGGGTGCCTAACTCACTTTATTGTATTTGGCGGGACAAGAACAATGTCTCGCCTTTGACAACTCCATTATAATTGTTATTATTGTTGTGGAGGTGGAGAAAATTCGATGGCTGATGTATTCTTCAGAATGTCATTTTCTTCAGCGAAAAATGATAGCACGCCCCCGGTTGCTGGCGACAGAAATTTCTAAATAAGAAATTTTAATTTCAAGTGTTGCGATTTTCCGCGGGGATAATGCGATTTTTTCAACGGAGATAAGGATTTTCAGCAGGAAACGATCGCAACCTGAATTTAAGACACGAGGTGAGTGCTAATAGGAACCTAAAATTAAGTCGCATAAATTCATGTCACTATCTAGATTTGGGTCACGACCTGAAAATAAGTCTTCGCCGGGATTTCAGGTGCGACCTGAATTTAAGTCACGATTTCAATTCAAGTATAAACCTGAGTTTTAGGTGGGACCTGAGGGTAAGCCACGATTTCAGTTCAAATTGCGAGCTAAAGGTGAACCGAGACCTGAATTTAAGTCGCGAGGTAAGTCCATGTCGCTAACCGGGTTCTCAATTTAAGTAACAATGTAAATTCTAGTCACTACCTGAATTTAATTCACGACCTGAATATAAGTCGCCGCCGGAATCTGATGTAGGACCTGAAGTCAAGTCGCGGTTTTAATTCCAATAGCGATCTGAATGCACGGCGGAACCTAAATTTAAGCCGCGATTTTAATTCGAGTAGCGACCTGAATTTAAGTCGTGGTTTTAATCCAAATAACGACCTGAATGCACGGTGGGGCCTAAATTTAAGTCGCAATTTTAATTCAAGTGGCGACTTGAATTTAATCCGCGACCTGAATTTAATCCGCGGCCTGAATTTAATCCGCGGCCTGAATTTAATCCAGGACCTGATTTTTTTTTCAAATCAAAAAATCCATTGTCATTCCTGAAAACCCTCAATTCCATCATAAAAAAAGTACGTTATAAAAAAATTGATACACCACGTGGAGGCAATTTACGGAAATTTCTCTCCAGCCCAGTAAAAGACAAAAAAATAATCATTTTCATCAATCCTCGAAAAATATTTTCTATTTTCATCCTGGAGGTAATTTTTTTTTGCGTCGAGAGACGGCCATTCGCTCCCGGTCGTTAGACTTGACCAACACGATTTTATCGATTGGATGAAAACACGTAAACCCTCCCAGGATTGTCTCGGTTCAAGCCATAACACTTGTGTGTGTACATATGCCTGAGGTTAAGAACCTCACGCTCCACTTTGTATCTCCACATGTACATGGGAAATAGGGAGTTGACCACGGGGGTAAGTACGTCGCAGACAATTACAAATAATGAAAAAAAAATAGAAACGGGAAATTGGAGAGGAAAAAAAATTGAATTGCATGGAAAAATTTTCACTCGGGGAATTCGGTAAAATAAATTACTCCTTTATGGTAATGCGATACACTTAACATTAAAGGTCAATCTGATAATATTTTAATGAACTTTTTACCTGAACATCGAGAGATCTGATCACTGAGCGCCTCAATGTGATAAGAATTCGACTGCGGGGTGTAACGATTTATTTCGTTATCTTCATCGTCTGCATTAGTTTTTTCTCTGGAACAGTAATTAATTAATAATAATTAATGGATAATTTGCATTGCAAGTGCGGGTGAAATGCATCCCATTCCATAGACAGGGCACTTTCTGTAGAAAACACAATGTGACGACCCGTTTTACCTTACTATTTACGTAGTTATGAACAATTCTCTATTTTATGGCGAAAACTTTTTTTCGATACCTTCGGAATTAATGGAGTAAAAAGGCCCGTCATATTGAGTTTTTTCAGCTGAGATTTCCCAGACTATCGAATGGAATAAGTTTCATCGTCACTTTCTCCCCTTCATTGAACTAAAAAATGTATTTTGTTTCGAAAATTGATAGAATCAATGGAAAATTGCAAAAAAAATCGAGATGATGGAAAATAGTTTTATAGAAAACCATTTCACCCCAAAAAAATTTATTAAATATCTAAGAAATTTTAAAAAAGAGTGAATAAAAAAAATTATGGAAATTAAAAACCCAAAAATTATTACTTAAAATCGAGTTCAAACGTATTTTTTTAGTAGTGAAATTTCATGAAATTTCTAGTAAAATTCTGAATACAAATAAATTTATTACGATTCCGAACAAATGATTTTTGTGATGTCTGTAACTTTAAAAAATTGTAATTGTTTAATTATTACATCAATCTTCTTACAAAAGTAAATTTCTATTTCTGAGATTTTTAAAATGACAATACGACAGCCCGTTTTACCCCACTATTCACCAAATGGCCAATTTTTCAGTTTATGCCGAAAACAATATTTTTTTTGCATCTCGGGAGTTAATGGAGTAAAAGGGGCCGTCGTATCGAGTTATTCAGCTCCAATTTCCCGGAGAATAAAAATCAAAATGAATAAATACATTAAAAACACCCGAATGATGTTGTGAAGCGGAATTGAAACGTACATTGAGTCATTGCTCTGGTTCAGCCTCAACGCAATAACAGGTGTACCAACTCTCCCGATATCACTGGTAATTGATACATTATCAATAATTTTTTCGATACCAACGGATTTTCTCCGCCTGAATGCACACGGACAACAGCGAAATGCACTTTTTAAAATTTCCGTATTACCGCAATTGAGGGTGTTAACAAGTGGTTTAGGATTGTCCTTGGTAACACTAGGCCAAACACAATGTTTCAAAATCATTTCAACTTTCTCAATCAGTCATTTCGTCCTGGTGAAGAATTATGTGCTCATTATTCAACCAAATTCCAACTGATTTGACGATTAAAAATAACATTATTAACTATAAACTGTTTACAATGCAATAAAATCAATCGATAAGCCAGATAAGCTGTCCATTAAGCCAATTAAGTTAAATTAATTGCCTAAATTGTGTAATTATTTTTTAATTTTCATCATTATTTCGATTAAATGAATTAACATGTAGTGAAAAAATTCATTTTCTCGTAATTGCGATTAACATTAACAATCCCTAATTGTTCCATCATTTCTCCCGAAATTTCAATAACTAGTTGAAATAACTGAATTGAATTTAACTACGGCACGATTGAATTTCACATATTAATTCCGCTGAGTGAATTTATTTCATTGATTTCATGGGAAAAAATAATTGGATATTGTTACGATTCATTTGCGGTAATGGGTGGGGGATGAATAGTTGTAATATCAACATTTTGATGAAAATGGGGAGAGACTATGGCTCACTGTCCTCGACATATTCACAGGCACTAAAGCACGCACGACTGGCCAATAGCCCGCATAGGGCTAAAACGTTAACCCAACGCTGACCGCTGAGAAATAGGGGGGAAAAATACCTCCAACCCCACCTCCCACTGGCACTGGCTACTCGCCTTCACCTTTCTACCTCTCCCACTCCCTCATCCCCCGACGACCCCTCCTTCCTACTCTTACCCCTTCTCCAGGGATATTTTCAACCAGTTGTCGAGTTTTAACTGGAGAATTGGCTGGATTTTTTTAAACATTTTTTGTGATTGAAAGAAATTGAAAAAAATGGGGAGAGGGAGGGAGAGGTCTTCTCCCATTCTTACCATTGGGGGAGGGGTAAAAATGGGAGAAGACCTCCCCCTCTCCCCCAATAGACTTTGAACGAGTTGAGGAGTTTTGATTTGAAAATTTATTCGGAATTATTTTTTTAGACTTTTTTTGGAGATTGAAAAAAATTGAACAGAAAATTTGGGAGGGGGAGGGGGAGGTCGTCTCCCACTTTTACCCCTTCTCAAATGATTTTTTTTAGTTTCTTTTGTGATTAAAAAAATTGACCACAACATTGAATGGGGAGGGGGAGGTCGTCGCCCATTCTTACCCCTTCTCAAATGATTTTTAAACATATTTTTATGATTAAAAAAATTGGAAAAAATGGGAGGGGGCGGGGTAGGTCGTCTCCCACTCTTACCCCTTCTCCCATGGACTTTCAATAGACTTGAGAGTTTTGATTTGAAAATTTGTTGGGAATTATTTTTTTATTTTTTTTTTTTGAAATTGAAAAAAAATTGAAAATAAAATTTGGGAGTGGGAGGTCGTCTTTCATTCTTACCTCTTCTCAAATGACATTTTTCTACATATTTTTGTGAATAAAAAAATTGGAAGGGGGAGAGCGTCGCCAATTCTTACCCGTTCTCAAATGATTTTTAAACATATTTTTATGATTAAAAAAATTGGAAAAAATGGGAGGGGGCGGGGTAGGTCGTCTCCCACTCTTACCCCTTCTCCCATGGACTTTCAATAGACTTGAGAGGTTTGATTTGAAAATTTGTTGGGAATTATTATTTTTTTTTTTTTTTTGAAATTGAAAAAAAATTGAAAATAAAATTTGGGAGTGGGAGGTCGTCTTTCATTCTTACCTCTTCTCAAATGACATTTTTCTACATATTTTTGTGAATAAAAAAATTGGAAGGGGGAGAGCGTCGCCAATTCTTACCCGTTCTCAAATGATTTTTAAACATATTTTTATGATTAAAAAAATTGGAAAAAATGGGAGGGGGCGGGGTAGGTCGTCTCCCACTCTTACCCCTTCTCCCATGGACTTTCAATAGACTTGAGAGTTTTGATTTGAAAATTTGTTGGGAATTATTTTTTTAATTTTTTTTTTTGAAATTGAAAAAAAATTGAAAATAAAATTTGGGAGTGGGAGGTCGTCTTTCATTCTTACCTCTTCTCAAATGACATTTTTCTACATATTTTTGTGAATAAGAAAATTGGAAGGGGGAGAGCGTCGCCAATTCTTACCCGTTCTCAAGTGATTTTTTAAACATATTTTTATGATTAAAAAAATTGGAAAAAATGGGAGGGGGCGGGGTAGGTCGTCTCCCACTCTTACCCCTTCTCCCATGGACTTTCAATAGACTTGAGAGTTTTGATTTGAAAATTTGTTGGGAATTATTTTTTTAATTTTTTTTTTTGAAATTGAAAAAAAATTGAAAATAAAATTTGGGAGTGGGAGGTCGTCTTTCATTCTTACCTCTTCTCAAATGACATTTTTCTACATATTTTTGTGAATAAAAAAATTGGAAGGGGGAGAGCGTCGCCAATTCTTACCCGTTCTCAAATGATTTTTAAACATATTTTTATGATTAAAAAAATTGGAAAAAATGGGAGGGGGCGGGGTAGGTCGTCTCCCACTCTTACCCCTTCTCCCATGGACTTTCAATAGACTTGAGAGTTTTGATTTGAAAATTTGTTGGGAATTTTTTTTTTTTTTTTTAAATTGAAAAAAAATTGAAAATAAAATTTGGGAGTGGGAGGTCGTCTTTCATTCTTACCTCTTCTCAAATGACATTTTTCTACATATTTTTGTGAATAAAAAAATTGGAAGGGGGAGAGCGTCGCCAATTCTTACCCCTTCCAGAATGCGTTTTTTTACGTTTTTCGTGATTAAAAAAATCTAAAAAAAATTGGGAAGGGGAGGGAGAGGTCATCTCCCATTCTTACCCCTCCCCCAATGGACGGGATCGGTGGGGCATTTTTTCAGAGATAGGGAGGGTTTTCCAGTTGGGTGCACTCGACTGCCGTCGCAATAGGTCAATTCTCGGGTTTTCGTGCTTGTTGGGGAATACATGCTAGTCAGATCCGTCGAGTGACCACTGATAAGAAGGGTCGACGGGAGGGTAGGGGCAAGGGAGAGAGAAGGGGTGAGCGTGTGGGAGGGATGATGGATTTCTCTTTTTCAAGCATTTTTTTTTATGATTACTAGTGTGTTTATTGGCTCAACTCACGGCGCTCCAATTTTTTTCACTGAGATCACCATTTAAACGACAAATCCCAGAAAATTCTAGAATATTCTCAAATATTGTCGAAGCGGGTGGAGCATGCACTGCACTGTTAGAATTTTTTCGAAATTCCATGGAAAATGTGGCGGTAATTCTCATGAGAGTGACATTGAGTCGGATTTAGGGAAAAAATGGTTATGAAATTTCAAGTTTTATGTGGAATTCACGGAAATTCACGAGTTTTCACTGAAATATGAATGCTCGGAAACAAAATGACATGAATTTTCAATTTTTCCCTGAATTTTCCTGATTTTTCGGAATTTTTGCAGAATAATTAAACTAAAAAATCGATTATTTTATTAATTGGAATTTTTTTATAACATTCTACAAGATTTCTAGGGTATTTCAGAGTCCTCTGCAACATTATGCATCGGGTTATTAAAGAGTATTAAAAATAAAAATGAATGAACAAATAAACTAAAATTTAAAAAAGCTCAACAGATTCATTATTCTCATAATAAAAACCCTTTGAATTATCGATACTCCGAATCGATAGTCCCACAGAGTTCGAAAGTTCAGTAAAACTACGAGAAGTGCCCGGGGATTGATCCTCTAAAAAGAAACAGAGTGACAAGTGTCAGAACAGCCAACTCGAAACTCTCGAAACCGATCCTCCCCACAGCCCTCTCCTCCCCGCGGAATCGATATTTCCCGATGGAGGAAGCTCTCGGTGGCTTGATTTCCTCCATGGTAAGCCACGAAAGTCAGTTTAACGTGGTGTGCGGGTAAATTATTCAGTGAGGAGGAACGAAAGATAAGGGAACTCAGGATTCAGAAACCTAATGGTCCCGCATGCCATTCAGCTTATACACATATCGATCATTCTTTTTTACTATTAGTTTCCAGGAACTGAAGCCCATGTACTTTGATAAGTTTGTGTGGACTGTCGATAATTTTCTTGCTCATAGAATATTTTTCCTGTTTTTCGAGTGATTTTTTTTTCTAGGGAAATGATAAAGGGAGGGAAATTGAATTTCACGTTTTGTTTCTCTCGGGTTATCTTCATAAAGAGCGGTTTTTGGTGGAAATGTCATAAAAGGTTTTTTGTGGGTTATTAAATTTCCCACAAAAAATTGTTTATCACATTTTTTTGCAGCATCAGCCGTTATCGAGATAATTGCGAATTTAATGAGACAAAAAATTTTCCGGTTTTTTAATTTTATTACTAATTCAATTTTCTGTATTGCTTTGAAAAATTATGAACAGTATTTTTAACATCTCAATAATTTTCGAGGTCGTGGAAAATTATTACAAATGCTTTGGTCATCAATTTTTAAAATTTTATTTTTTATTTCCCTTTAAAAATACTTTGAATAGTTTTTGAAAGGAAATTGAAAAATTTGGGTTTTTTTTTGCATTTATCTTGAAGAGGGGCGATTTCAGAAGAAAATGGCATAAAACATTTTTTATGAATTATTAAATTCTCTACAAAAAATGTGATATGACATTTTCTTCTAGAACCAGTCGTTATCGAGATAATCGGAGATTCACAGAAATGGAAATAATTTTTTTGTCTTTGTCTTGCCACTTTATCAGTAAATTGATTTCCTTCATCACTTTGAAAAATGGTAAGAAAACATTTTGGGAATTTCAATAATTGTCAACATAATGACGAATTATATCAACTAATTTTTAGTGCTTATTCCCCATTTTTGGCGGAATTCTACGAGATAAATAGAACAGAAAAGGGAAATGGAGATAAAATAGAGGCGAATAAAAGTATTGTGACTACAATGTTGCAGTGGTGATTCAAAAATTGTGTGATTACGAATAATTGAAAAAGTTTTGGTCTATACCCTCGTGTTTACTCCAATGTACTTGAACTGAGCAAATGGGCACAACTCTAGACAATTTGGACCTTGAATTTGTCCTGAATCGACATCAGCCTCGTTAAATCATGAATTAATCAGGTGTCGATGGAAGGGGTGTCTTCAATAATTACGAACTACGGTCGCTGACGAATATCAACTGCCGAATATTGAATAATCAATTGAATTCAAACGCGACCTTCAATTGGAGTTTGGCCGATGAACTTGACCGAATTCAAAATTTCCATCTCTTCTGATCCTCTTCATTACATATTTCTAATTCCTGAAATTTTTACTGACGCAAAATGAAAATTAAAAATTAGTTTTTTAATCATCTAAAATTAATCATCTTTGTTATTATTGTCCACATTATTATGTATTCATTTAATTTTTTTTTGGCGGCGGGGAAATTTCCAGGAAATAAAATTCCTGTTATTACTATGATTATTTTTCATTGTATTTCTTTTTGTTTAATTTTTTACTGGAGGACTACAGCCCCTGCTCGCTTCGTTCGCCGAACCCCATATGACCCTCATAATTCTTATTATGACCCTCGTGAACCTTATTCTGACCCCCGTGACCCTTATTCTGACCCGCATGATCATTATTTTGGCCCTCGTGGCCCTTATTTTGACTTAATTTCGAGTACCAAATTTTTATCACCAGAAGTCGATTTGGATTTTTATGACAAAAAAATTGATTTATTTTTCTATTTTATTTGTATACATTTTTTTTCTATTGAAATATTTTCCATAGAACCACCTTGACTCACATTTTGCAAGATTTTTTCGTTTGATTTCGTTAACGAAAGGCGAAAAAAATAGGGGAAGAAAAGTATTTTCCACAAAGTAATTTTTATTAAACATTTTCTATAGACAAAAACGCGTCGCACAGCTGTGAAATTCGGTGGAAATCCAATAGAATTCTCTACGAAATCACGAGGTTTTTCCAGAATTAATAGCTATAAATCATCGGTATCTCTGACCCATTTTTGACACTTGAATTTCATGAATATTAAATTCACCTTTTTTTAAACATTCTGAAAAGCGGAAAAGCGCCTGAAACTGTGTTTTGGACTACTTTTCGTTATCGCCTTTTGGATCTTGACACGCGAGCTATTCCGGGAGGTGACTGTGGTCGATGAATCATGGAAAACCGCAGGGGTGACTCCTGACATACTGTTACGCGTGAGGGAAATTTCTGTTTTCCCCTGGATAATTCTCGATAATTCTGTTTTCACGTGTTTTAGTTGATGAAAAGTAACTCACCTCGGGGTCGTGGGGGTGTGCAATCGAGAAGTCCTGGGGTCAGTCTCTTGAACCTGTGAAAATGCCGGGTGCATCGATCCTGAATGCGATGAACTGTTGCGCCTCGATTCGACCTTTGTGGATACAAATTAATTTCATTGTAATTATCTTCTTAATTCGTTGATGATGAAGTGCGAGGGAGCGAGGTGGAGTTGAAGATGATCTTGCGGATTGTCGTGAAAATATTTAGAGCAATTTGCATGTATATTTTCGACTATTTAATGCTCAAAGACAAGAAATTAATTTTTAAATAGAATAACAATGACGTTGTGACGAAGAAAAATCCAGAAACAAGTCTTACTTCCACCACATTAATATTAATAATTCACCCTCTCATGATTATCAAATCCCAAACATTTTGTGGTAAATTTGCCGACTTTTTCAAGATGAAAAATTCTAGTCGAAAAAATAGATTTGATTGTTCTAAAAAATTGTTGTGGTCTGTGTTATTTTGGCCCCGAAAAGTGCTTGTTTGATGCTTGTATTGATGTTTCGGCTATCCAATACTCGAATAATTTATTTACGAAGTACTTAATGTCCGAAAATTAATGAGAATTTTTTCCCTCTACTAATTATTTCTAATTAAACAGTTCAAGCAAATTTACAATCTCCTGATTAAATACTCACTGAAGTAGTAACAGCTTCTTCAGGCTCGAGTGAACTTCTCACAACGCTCCTTCGTCTTCCATTACGGTACACTGACTCGAATCTACCGTGATAAATGTCAACGAACAGACGAAATTGCGAATTAATAATAAACCAGACCTTTCCTTTTCATTCGTCCCACGATTTCTCGGGTATAACATTTTTATAATCTATTTACCCTTCTCGAATTGGTGAATTCCCCTGGCGGGAGACTCGGGAACGGTCTTCGGAGGCTGGTCGGGATGAAAATTTTATTCTATCACTTCTGTATCTTCTGGATATCTATAAGAAACATTTCGTTTTTATTTGAGAAAACGAGTTGCATGGAAATTCAATAGACAAATTGAGAAAACCGCATAAAAAATGAATTACAAAAATCCAAATAGTCTCGGAGATGAGCCATTTTAACAATTTGTAATAAAAAATTTATTCAAAAGAATTTCTGAATTTCAAGGAAATGGAGAGTAGATAAAAAAATATATTTTTAGAAACATTAGAAATGATATTTAAAAAATCTAACAATTTTTTCCTAAAATTGATTTATTTATTTGAATTTTTTTTTACTTTTTTTTTTTTTTAATGAAAATGGATTATTGAAAAAAATCGATTTGCCCGAAATTCTTGAAAAGTGATGTAAAAAAAATTCCTAGCAACAAATAAATGAAAAACGAAATTATTAATATTGGGAAACGTAAATGGGAAATAAAAAATTTCAAAAAAAAATTTTGAAACCATTTATAAATCCAATGAGCCACAGAAAACATAATTAAAACCCCCAAATAATTATTTTTCAACGAATAAATCGAATAAAACCCTCGAAAACCCCTGATAAATCCTGAAAAAAAATCAATTTCCTAAAAAAAATGAAAAAAAAAAACATTGTTCCTCATTTCTTCAATAAATGAATGATAAGAAAAATGAATAACCATTTTTTCAAATCAACAAAAAGGGTAAAAATAAAAAATGCAAAAAAAAATTTTGAAACCATTTATAAATCCAATGAGTCACATAAAACCTAATTAACATTTCGAAGACATCTGAGCAAACATAAAAAACCCCAAACAATTTTCCAGAGCAAAAAAAAATCTCAAAGCTCCATAAAACCTCAAAAAATTACAGATGAATCATTAAAACATGTGAATTATGCCAGAGAAAATTGAAAATTCCTGACGATCTATTGATTATCCAACAAAAAAGAAAAATGAGTGTGAAAAAACAGAGATAATTTTTTTTCAATTAACGGATGGAGAAAAACATAACTCGACGAATTAGAAAGGAGAAATAATTGCGAAAAAAGTCGGTGAGATCGTACTTCAGACTCCCTGGCGCCCCCATAACCCGGTCCAGCAGACGTGTGTGGTGCAGAGGAGGGTGGAGCCTCCTCGGCCTCTTGACGTCGTCGCCGTTGATAAGCAGTGCTGTGCCTAACAACAATGTGCCGATCCATGAACTGAGGGACAGGTATTCTTGACTCGAGCCTCACGTCATCCCTCCGCTCGGCGTAAATCTGATCCATCCTCCTGTGGAAGTTCTCCTCGGTCTTCCTCTGCTTCATGATGACGTCCTTGTCGTTCTTGAGGAGTGACGAGTTCAGGGGCTCGGGGCAAGTGTCTCCAGGGGTGTCTGAGGGCGAGAGGAATGGACTGTACGTGTCGGAGTATCGAGATCTTACACTACTTGATTCTGTCAATTAAAGCAGTACGAATTCATTAATTATTTGGCATTATTAACATTAAAACGATAAATTGGAAAATTATCTAGGGGTGATTATGAATTAAATCGATGGTTGACTTAATTCAAACTGGAATAATTCATCAAACACTTCAGTATTGCAATTGATGAATCAAATGGAGAACTTTGGAGTAGTTGGAAAATTGAGATGAATTTTCAAATTGTCTAGAATTCCCTTTGACTCTGAAATTGTTAATCAATTTTGTTTATGACTTCCAGTATTTTATGCCTTAATTGAGATGTAAACGCGGTGTCGGAGTATCGAAATGTTACACTACTTGATTCTGTCAATTAAAGCAGTACGAATTCATTAATTATTTGGCATTATTAACATTAAAACGATAAATTGGAAAATTATCTAGGGGTGATTATGAATTAAATCGATGGTTGACTTAATTCAAACTGGAATAATTCATCAAACACTTCAGTATTGCAATTGATGAATCAATTTCAGAAGTTTGGAGTAGTTGGAAAATTGAGATGAATTTTCACATTTTGTAGAATTTTCTTTGACTCTGAAATTGTTAATAAATTTTATTTATGACTTCCAGTATTTTATGCATTAATTGAGATGTTAACGCGGTGTCGGAGTATCGAAATTTTACACTACTTGATTCTGTCAATTAAAGCAGTACGAATTCATTAATTATTTGGCATTATTAACATTAAAACGATAAATTGGAAAATTATCTAGGGGTGATTATGAATTAAATCGATGGTTGACTTAATTCAAACTGGAATAATTCATCAAATACTTCAATATTTTAATTGATGAATCAATTTCAGAAGTTTGGAGTCGTTGGAAAATTGAGATGAATTTTCAAATTTTGTAGAATTTTCTTTGACTCTGAAATTGTTAATCAATTTTATTCATGACTTCCAGTATTTTATGCATTAATTGAGATGTAAACGTGGTGTCGGAGTATCGAAAGGCTACACTACTTGATTCTGTCAATTAAAGCAGAACGAATTCATTAATTATTTGGCATTATTATCATTAAAATGATAAATTGGAAAATTATCTAGGGGTGATTAAGAATTAAATCGATGGTTGACTTAATTCAAACTGGAATAATTCATCAAATACTTCAATATTTTAATTGATGAATCATTTCAGAAGTTTGGAGTCGTTGGAAAATTAAGATGAATTTTCAAATTTTCTACAATTTTCTTTGACTCTGAAATTGTGAAATCGTTAAATTGTTGAATTATTACTTTTGTTTAAAACTTCCAGTATTTTATTCATTACCATTATTGAAACGTAATTGAGACGTAATTGGGGTGTCTGAGGGCAAGAGGAATGACTGTGCGTGCCAGACTATCGAGATCTTATACTACTTGATTCCGCCAATTAAAGCCGTACGAATTCATTGATTATTTGGCAGTATTAACATCAATACGATGAATTGGAAAATGATCTAGGGGTGAGTATAAATTAAATCGACGGTTAATTAAATTCAAACTGGAACAATTCCCCAGCTACTTCGTTATTTCAAGTGATGCCTCAATTTCAGAAGTTCTGAGTAGTTAGAAAATTGATATGAATATTCACATTTTCCACAATTTTCATAAACTCTAAAATCGTTAATTAATTTCCTCCAAGACGTCCATTATTTTATTTACGATTACCATTGGAATATAGTTCAAATTACATTAAATAGGAAACTGCTGACACTTTACCGATAGATATTGGCGACTCGTTCCTGTAGTCGTCCTCAATATCCTGAGACGAATTGTTTCCCTCCTGAAAGGTAAAACAAATTCCACATAAATAGAATGAATACTCAACGTTAATTATGAATAATACAGGATCATTGATCAACCTAAATGGGAAATGTCATGTTGGGCCTAACCTCAGGGCGATTCAGTCAAAATGGAAATTTAATTTCTCCATTCACTGGGACAAATAGAAATTTTAATGTTTACTTGGTAATTATTGGTAGTTTACAATGGAATAGACATGTGTAATTTGTGGGGGAATTTTATTCATGTTGACGAGGTTAATTGGAGGGGAGTTGATGGAAATGAATAAACAATGTACGAATGCTCACTTTGTCTGGTGGAACAAATTGCCAGCCTAGTGGGCGTTCGTTTTTCGAATGTAGAGAGATTCCCTGGGCGACGAAATTCGGTCGCGATGATGGGGAACTTTTGCCTTGTTCATTTCTGCACAGAAGTATTGTTGAATTATTCTCAAGAGGCTGGATTGATAATTAAATATAATGGAACTGGATGGCGAAGGTAAAATATGAAATGAGAGGGTGACAGGAATGGGATTACCAACTCAAAAGAAATTAATCAAAATGCTTCTTAGCTCGTTCTATCAAACGATTCTTAGTTATTCTATATTTACTGCTCTCAGAGCCCAAATAGACTGATCAATTTAACGCTCATAATTCTCAAACTACTGCATATTCGATATTCGAAGATTCAAACTCAAAGTTTCAATGCTTATGCGGCTCCTAAGCCCCAAAATGTTGCATTCTAAACTCTCATAGGACTCAAACTCTTTAATTTGATGCTCACAGAACTCAAACCTTTGTATCCGGCGCTCATAAAGCTCGAACCACAGAAAATGGAATTATCAAACGATTCTTCGTTATTCTATATTTACTGCTCACCCAGATTGTGATAAGTGGCTCACAACCCTCTGAATGATCAATTTGATACTCATAATTCTCAAACTATTGCATATTCGATATTCACAAGATTTAAACTCAGAGTTTCAATGCTTATGCGGCTCCTAAGCCCCAAAATATTGCATTCTAAACTCTCATAGGACTCAAACTCTTTAATTTGATGCTCACAGAACTCAAACATTCGTATCTGGCGCTCACAAAGCTCAAACTGCCACGGAAAATGGAATTTTCAGGACAAAATATCACTCGAACGACAAAAAAATTAATGACTTCATCATTGTGTCTCTTAAAAAATTGTGACAGTAATGATTGAAGAATTGAAATTAAAATGGTGGAACAGGTTTTTCTTCAGTTGTTGAAATTAATTGAAATAATTCATTAATTACTTATTCTTATCGACTCCACCCTTGACATTGGGTGGTATTACTTGTCCCCTGGCTCTTCCAGTTCCTGGAGACACTGAACCACTGCCAGCAACGATCCAGTCGACATCGGGGCCTGGAATACAAATGAGAATTAACAAATGAGAATTAACTTTCAAGAACAATCGTTCAACAGTCCATTTTCCGAATGTAATGTAGCAACAGACGGGTCACGAGCGAATATATATAGTACCCTATATATATTTTTATTACAGAACAGAATTGTATTAAATTTTTTTTATTGTTAAAAAAATTACAGTATACTTTTCACAGAACTACATTTTTTCATTACAGTAACAAATGAATTTCTCTTCTTTTGTAATTACTGTAACCAAAAAATTACAGAATGGATGCTTCTAAAATCGTAACACTTGACTTTTTAGAAGCAGATCCTCCAAACTCCCCCGCTTACCCGTAGCAATCTGCACAGTCGGTGAAATTTGCAATCCATAAACAACAAGTCCATCGGCTGAAACCATGGGCAAAGATTTTCTGGCAAGTCTAGCCCTGATAGCTGCCACCATATCAGTGCCCTCCCTGAGCTGTTTGGCAGCTCTATTACCCGCCTGCAGTACCTCCTAAACAAAAATAGAAACAAAAGGCATAAAACACTTTTCAACATCTTAATCACCATAAATAAATTACAACACCCAGGATGTTACATAATAAAACCGTAAATGAGATTTTCTTTTGACGTCACCTCGGGCTCGTAAATTTGCGCAAGTACTGCCAGTGTATCCAGGGCAGCTTGTCTCACTCTTCTTCTTCTGTCGCCGACCATCAGTGCCACTTTGTTAGCAACGTTTTCCACTTTAAATTCCGTACTCGGGAATGTTACGAGGGAGAAGATCAAAAGCTGCAGGGCGTTCTCTCGCGTCTCAATTGAATTAGAAGTGAGAATAAATGTTTAAAAAATGGGTTAATGGGGTAATGAGGGTAATTTGGAAAATTTGTTTATGAATTTAGAGGGGGAAGATTGCAATTTCCTCGCGGTTTTTTTGGTAATTAGGTGAGCAATGAGGGCTTTTGAAAGAAAATGTGTGTTGATTCTTTGTTCGTAGAATACCGAAACAGTATTTTTTTTCTCGATATTTTTTGCAATAGTTTTTGCCCACTTGTTTATTATTGTTTACCTTGGCATTTCTGGCGTCGATACAGTGGGGCTGGAGGAGCTGCTCGAGGAAAAGGGCTGGTCTCAGACGCAGCATCGCTAGTCTAGCTAGTTGAGCAGCGCTCGGACCCCCTTGCCTACTCAGACCCCAAGCGACTTGAGGAAGCCGACGTTTTAATGATTCTTCTGAGACTCCGGCTATTACCACCTTCGAGGGAATTAATCGAAATGTTTATCAATAAGCTCATTATATCAATAAATAATTCCCCAAATGAGTCACTCATAGAATCCAAATTGTGACACCGCATGCTCACAAGGCTCTAAATGACCAATTTAATGCTCACAAGACTCAACCTCAAATTCTCAGTGCTCACACGGCTCAAAGATCCTCATTTGGCGCTCACAAAGCCAAAAATTTTCCAGCAAATTGATTTTTCCCGAAGAAAAAATTAATTCACTATTTTGTTCGCTTTCTTCTCATTCAAAAATCCTTCCTTTTGATTGATAAAATTTGTAATGAAGAAGGATTTTTACCCTAGCAACAGACATGGCAGCAGCAGCCACCCTGCAGCTGCGTTCGCCTCCCAGAACCGCTTGTAGAAGGGATCCAAGCCTTGGTTCGATGGCAATGAGCGCGGAGGAAGTCCTCAGGGCTGATGCAACCCTCTCCAATCCTCTCACGCGTGCCCTCCAGTCCTCCTTCAACAAACAATCATATTTTCTCAGTACAAGCGGCTTTTTATCCTTCCAACCAACAATGTAAGCGAAGGGGGTGCAGATCTGATAAGTGTAGACGACTGGGGCTAAATTATTGCGATAATCCACCAAGAATTTGCATACTGCACTTGCATAAGAGTTTATGCTGGATCGCCAGCACGCAACACGTGCCTAATTATTTTCATCGTACGTTTCCACTGAGTAATTCAAGAATTTTTCATTCTCGGGGTTTTTTGTGGATTTTTTTTTGGAGATGAATTATTTCAGTATTAGGATTTACTGTGAGGATTAATCGGAGTTTTTTTGGTTTTGGGAGGAATTGGATAATTTTCTATAGAAGTTTGAGCCTTTGAGCGCCAAATACAGAACTTTGAGCCATGCAAACGTTCAAAATATGAGATTGAGCTCACAATCTGAACTCCATGAGCACATATGGGAGTCTGAGCAGTGTGAGCAATCGAATATGAGAAAACTGAGCCGTATGAGCAGTGAAATCAACAGTCTGACTCTTGCGAATGTCAAATATACAACAGTTTGAGAATTATGAGCAGCGAAAAGCCTTCTGAGCAATTGTGAGCACTTATGTTTCCAATGAAGTGATGTTTAATCTAATTCGTTATCAGTCCTGAGTCTTGAAATCATTGCACTGAATTTGAATATCGTATAATTGAATTCAAATTTTCTTTTTCAATTTACGAACATAAAGCCATAATCGTCAGTTTCAATTTAAAATTACCAACAATAGTTGCCTTCTCATTTCCGCACAATGGCATTTCAAGATTACCCGCAATTTGAACTCCGCGTGGTCTTGGGGTCTTGAGAAAATCGATGGCATCGATCTCTCCCGCGTCCACTTACTTTTTATCTCAGTAAAAAGGGGCGGAAGAAAGAGAGAAAGTGGGAGTGAAAAATTTTATGACTCCTGATGAATAATAAAATGAGACATAAGGAAAATACGCGGGGCGAGCATTGACCGAGTTGAGGATGTCCGAGGGGGACAGTCCCTGTGAGGTAATTAATTTCTGAGCCAGTACATTTTTAAGCCTTTTCCTTTGTTAATGGATATCCCAAGGAAACATCGCAAACATCAACAGTTAATCCCCACGGATTTCCAGAAAAATTCTAAATGACTCAATTTATTGCATTCTCATGAGTTATTCAGCTTTTCTATTATCATATGTTGTTGATGAAGGCAAAATAACTGGTTGAGTCGAATAAGACATGATTTCACGAAATTTATATTTCTTAGAGTTGAATATCGCAGAAACTATGTACTATAAAATTAACCAAAAATCGATTTTATGAGTTAAAAATAAGTTTCGGAAATTTTAAACATTTTCAATTATTTATTTATACTAGGGGGGTACGCCCACTGCTCGCTCCGCTTGCCAATCCCCGTATGACCCTTAACCTGACCCGTGTGACCCTCGTGACGCTTACTCTGACCCTTGTGACTCTTAACTGTGGAGTCTTAATTTCGAGTACCAAATTTTCATCACCAAAAGTCGATTTGAATATTTATAATATAGAGAGAAAGAACGAATGTTCCAAAAATAATAATTCTGAGCAAAATGTAATTTGAATGACGGTAAATATTCATCATTTTTTTCAGATTTCTCTGACGCAATTTAATTGACAAATTTAGTGCTTTTAAACCATTGAAAAAACATTAGAATTTCATCTTCAATTCGCCAGGTTTGTCTCCGAAATGTTTTCGTACGTGTTAAAAAAATACTTAAGCCTCAGAGACATGTTGATTCGATCGATTACTTTCAGTTAGACTGGAATGAAGAAGAACTGTCCGGCCTCAATTAGTATTCACGCGAGAGCGTTGATCGCTTCAAGGTCTCGCTGCGCTTCTCAGACAGTAGTAATACAGGTTTTTGTTTAGGGAATAGAAGGAACGGCTGCGGCAACATCGGCCAAAACAGGAATAAAATTCTCGGATTCATGCGGTAAGAGGATCATCGATGAATGAATAACATGTGTAGGAAATCGAGGCAGATAGTTCTATTACTTTTCATCTTCGTGTTTGTATTTGGTGCTGTTGTTGTTCTTGTGAAACATGTGATGCATCGCGATGGGGGAGGGCAAGTGCGGTATAATAAAAATTCAATGGTAAGTTCGATCCAAAAAATAATCGTTCAATTTATTTTTATTTTTGTTCATTTTATTTTTCTCCAAATTTTGGACTTTGAGTAGATTCTCACCGGAAGAATACTTCAGGTGAATTATTTGACATTTCGGTTTTTTTAGCGCGAGTTGGAGGCGAGAAATAACCGGAGAATTAGAAAACTTGAAGAGACGTGTAAAAATTATAATTTGGGATTTTATAAAATGGAGACACAGAGGGATCTGATAAAATATCCGCCAGCACCTCAGTATTCTGTGTTCTACATCGATACGTGAGTAAAACTTGACATTGATGAAAAAAAAAATTTGAGAGATGAAGAACATTCAACAAGTCCGAGTTTTTTTAATTATTCCATTAAAAAATTACTGTCTCGTATTTGACCAAGTCGTTGCAAGCAAAAATTCTTTTGGCAATAATAAGCCCCGAAAATATCAATATATTGGTCCACCAGACGCAATTTACCAATCGCCCAATTAGTCGTCGAACCCACCAATTAATTAATTCCAGCGTTCATCAAATATCTTACTGCCCGATCTACAAAGCTGGCTCCACAACGTGGCTGCACAACCTCTGCCGGCTAATGAACATATCCGAAACTGAGCTCGCAAAAACCAAAGATCAGATATCGACAATTGCCCGGCGCCTAATACCCGAGATGGATTATCCGGAAGCCGAGGAGGTCGTTGAAAATACAAAGCCAAACAAGTACCCTTTCTTCGCATTCACCCCTCCCCAAGTCGACTGTTTTCACATATCAATTTTTTCATCTCCTTTCTTTTCTTTATCCTCCAGGCGATGAGGAGTACCACAAAATTCCTGGTCGTTCGCCATCCATTCGAGAGACTGTTGAGCGCTTATCGGGACAAACTCGAGAACTCTGTGGCTGGGAGAGAGCACGGTACACTGCATTTTTATCGGAAATACGGAGCTACGATTGTACAGAAATATCGAGGTATTTTATATTATTTCTAGGGAGGTGTTTGTATGTTTTTCGCGATGAGAAAATATTTGAAAACAATTTTTCCTGAATTTTATATTCCCATTTTTACCGAAATATTTTATGCGAATTTATATTTTCTTATATTTATATTTGAAGAAATCTACGACTCTCATAATGTTCAAGCCTTGGTGAGAAGATTCGTAAAAATCGCCGCTTTTGTAGTTGACGCTCACAAGACTCGAACTCTTACATTTGACGCTCCTAAAGCATAAATTGCTACACTTGATGCTCAGAGAGCTCTAAATGACGTGTTCGGCGCTCATAATGCTCAGGCCATTGTATACTCGACATCTACACGACTCAAACGTCTATTTTTAAGGCTCATAGCGCTCAAAGTTCTGTACTAGTTGCTCACAAGCTTCTATCTTCAATGCTCATAAGACCGAAACTTTCATTTTTGATTCTAAAATTCTTGAATGGTCGTACACGTCACCCTCGCGAGACTCAAAATCATCCATTTAATTCTCCCAAGCTTTTGACGCTCACAATTCGACAACGATTGCATAATTGACACTCATAGGACTCAAAATCAGTGCTCACACCACTCAATGTTCCATACGTGGTGCTCACAAAACCTTAATTGTCATATTTCCGATTCACATAAGTCAAAAACTAATATTTGACACTCACAAAGCTCGAACCTCTCCATAACTTGCTCATAAAACTCGAAATTTCGATTTATTGAATGTTTCATTCAGCATAATTTCATTCAAAGAAACAAAACTATTAATTTCCTCCGCTTGATGTCTCCATTAACACAGCCGATCAAATAACACTGATTACATTATCCAACGAATTATTATCGACTCTATTTGATTTGCTCGTCAATTTATATTCCCCCGGAGTTCCTCTGAACAAAAAATTTTGATGCATATTTTTTTATTTGACATTTATTCGGTTTGAGAGAATTTTCCTGCGGTTCCAAACCGATGGCATCCAATAGTAGAAACCAAATATTGAAATGTTTTTTATTCTGAATATTTATCTCCACTTTGTGAATTTATTCACTCTCGTTTGATTGATTAATTCTCCCGGCAAATAAAATCGTTAGACCGCGATATTTTTGTTGATATTGAATGCACTGGGTGATGCTAGATATTCATTGCAGATGACAGTTTTATACCCCCGAGGGAGGACCAAGTTATCCACCGAGAGGGTGTTTCAAGGCCCACCGGAATTGAGCCAACTTGGCGGGAATTTGTTGAGTACCTAATTGACACTGATTTAGGAAGTTATGGGGACGATCACTGGATGCCGTACTATCTCTATTGTACACCTTGTTCCGTTGATTACACGATCATAGCTAAGGTAATTGGATTTACTGGAAATATTTCACTAAAATTCTCAAAAATAAAAATAAAAAATAAAAATAAAGCGGTAATTTTTCTACTACAATTTTGGCACCAGAGAGCACGGGAAATTTCCGCTTCAAAACTCTGGTGATAACCCCATTTTGCCCCGATACACTTTAAAATATGAAAGCAAACATTTTTTTTCGCGAAAGTTATTCTTTGAGTATCTCAGCTGTTATCGGAGATAAAAGGACTTGTGGCCAGTGAACGGAAGCGGAAACTCTCCTGGCTATATCCTGGGGTCATTTTCGACCCCATTCGAGCAAATGGGCTTTGTTCAACCGATAAAATCAATGAAATTATAATTTATTGAGGGAGGCAATTTGACTTTCAAAGGTGGAGACCTTGAATGACGATCAGACGTTCGCAATTGAGCGGATGGGATTGACCGGCAAGATAAAACCAATCTGGAGACACAGTGGTGGACAATCAGATGCCTCGAGTGTCTATTTCAGTCAATTAACACCCGATCACATAACTCAACTGTACGAAAAGTTTAAACTGGACTTCGAGATGTTCGATTACACTTCAGACAATTATTACCAGTACTCAGAGGACATTTAATGAATTATCGATGAGATAAAGATCATTGTGAGTGAACAGTCGTCTGAGTGGAGATTTGCAGATGTAAATTGAGCCATTTAATTCATTAAAATAATATTTAAGAGTAAAAATGTCCGTCTCTCTCAGTATTTCACAAACTTTCGAGTGGGCGAAATGGGGGTGGGGGTGAATGAGGCGGTGAAATCGATCGACCCAGTTTACTGTCCGGCTTTATATCAAAGCGATCTCGGCCGAACTTTGAATGAAGTATTCGAGATATGGATTTCGTATGCGATTGTCATCATCGTCGCATGCCTCAACCATTCAACATTTCGAAATACTGTGATTTATTCTCAGCCGTTACACCCTGAATACCATGAATATCATGGATTCAACTACCGCAAGATCATCATCAAGACTATTATTGAATTAGGACAGTTTCGAAATTTTCAATCGTGACAAATGGGAGATGTTTATATTTCATCCGATAGTCGGGAAAATTTCCGATCCAAAATACTGGTGTTGAACCCCTTTTGCCCCTACACTTCGCGAGATGTTTAAAAGAATTTTTTTTTTCTCACGGAACTTGCTCTTGAATATCTCGACTGTTATCAGACGTTAAAAGACTCATGACCAGTGAACGGAGACGGAAATTTCACGAACTACAGGTGGCGGTCATTTTGGGCGCCATTCGATGAGAGCGAAATTTATTAAAAAATCCTCATATTTTTTTATTGGCCTTACCTTATTATGAAGGTCATCAAGAACATCCTGAGTCACAAGTCCGAGGTCCTCCCAATTAGCCTCGCCCTTGCCCTCTCCCTCCCCACTCTTCTCCGCAAAACTTTTCTCCTCACACTCTTTCAACTCTCCCTCCCCCTCACCCTTGACTTCACCGACTCCCTCAGGCGAGACCTCACGACTTCTCGAACTCATTTTAACAGGACTCGATAGCTCCATGAGAATATAATTTCTCTCCTTTCTCGGAAAACTTTCGTAAACTGTCTTTCTCGGTGAATTCTTTGTCACTAATGACTTTTTTCTCATATCATTGTCAATTGAATCTTCAAATGAAGTTAATCGCAGTGAAGTTAAACTCGGACTCCTCGATAAATTTCGATTATCCATGTCGCAATTATCCATTGCCAAATTGCCGGTTGAAGTTTCAATCCTTGAGATGGAATTTCTTTCGGTGAACTGAAGTTCATTATGAAGTTGATGATGAAGTTCACTTGAATTTTCACTCCCCTCAATTTCCACGTCCGGAATTTTCCTGCAAATGTTGTCCTCATTTTTCTCCGATCTTTTCAGTGAAACCAATTTTGATGACTTCGACTTCGTTTTATGAAGTTCGTCATGAAGTTTATTCGACATTTCATTGTCTTCAATTTTCACGTCTAGATTTTTTCCCGAGTTATCAACTTCATTATTCTCTGATTTTATTGGTGTAGTCAATATTGATGACTTCAACTTCACGCTAGGAAGTTCATCATGAAGTTTATTCGTCACTGCGGTCCTTTGTACTTCCACATCCTCAATTTTTTCCAGATTTTTCTCTTCAGCTTCCCCCAATTTGTTCGCCGTCATCAATTTTGTTGACTGCAACTTCACGTTGTGAAGTTCATCATGAAGTTTATTCGACATTTCACTTGCTTCTTCAATTTTCACATTCCGAGCCCCGCCCACATTTTTTCCCTCATTTCTCTCCAATTTTCTTGGTGAAGTCAACTTCGATGACTTCTTCCTCAACTTCTTCTCAAACTTCAAATTATTCACATGAAGAATTTTCCTCGGATCAACATCATCATCGAGATCCTCAAACACCTCAAAGGACCAGCTCCTATTCTCCCTCGTCCCGAAAACATTATCAAGGTCACCATTGAAGTACGCCACCCCATCCAGAGACACCGACTTCGTTCGCGTCATCACATGATTATTATTCTTCGTTAAAATCCCTTTCTTCGGACTCAAACTTCCATCATGAACGTAGAACTCTCTCTTAGGACTGATTGAAGCCGACCTCGACCTTCTCGAGATTTTGTTGGACATCGATAAATTCGGACTGCCAGGATTCGACAATGGTTTCGTCAAATGAAGTGGCAACTTCGTTACCGGAGCTATTGGAAGCGGAATTTTCGTCTTCTTCACTTCAATCTGAAGTGCCTCCGAGTCATCAGAATCCGGAGTTCTCATTTTAACAATCTCACCGCCAAAGTGAACCCGCCTCGGTGTCTTTCTCCGCTCAATCCACACGTCCTTGGACTCAAATTCATCATCAACTTCATCATGACCATCATCTTCACCCTCAACTTCATCATTAGAATTCCGAAAGTTGTCTTTTTCCTCGGAAATAGTCATAGTTATGGCAGTATCCTCATTCAACTTAATCTCAGTCTCCAACAGGACTCTTGATCCTGAAGTCTCAAAGTCACCACCATGACCCGGAAGTTGAACTTCACGATGACCTTGAGCAATGTTCGTTTCGATTTCGATGACATTTCCATTGATTTCCTCAATTTTGGATGATTTCGCGGGACTTTTCGCCTTTTTTATCTTTTTCCTCGGACTCTCGGACACTTTGTACACTTCACAGAGAACCTGAAAGTCCTTGAGGGCTGTGGGATTGAGCTCCGAGAGGTGGACGGCGAAGTTGTCGGGGCCAATTATGTCACGAATCTTCAGAAGGGACTTCAATGCCGCCTCTTGGTGGTTTATTTGAATCAGGTGGTGAGCCAATGCTGTTATCGTCGCTGATAGGAGATTGTAAGAGGGGGGTGGAGTGGTAGCGGAAGGATAGAGGAGAGCGGGAGCGCTGAGAATGAGGCCCTGGGTGATGCTGATTTGGAGAGGGTCCAGAGGATCTTGACGTGATAAACCACTTCGGAGGAGCTGGAAAAGTGAAGAAAATTGTGGTGAAGGGGTGATGATTTATTATTGATTGAATTCGGGCTACGGGTTTTTTTAATGAAGTCATCAGGATTAGTTGATTGTGTGAGTTTATGAATGCCGTATTGAACGGTAAAGACTGATTCTTCCTCTTCTTTAAATAATTTTTTCTTGTTCAGCGATCAATTGATCAATTCTTTGAGGATGATTGAGGCTTATGAGCGTCGGGTGGAGATGTTTGAGCTCTCCGAACGTTAAATATGAGAGCTTGAGTTTTGGATGTTTCAAATGTGCAACAGTTCAAGCATTGTGAGTGTTAAATGTGAGAGTTGGAGTCTTGTGAGCATCATGAATTGAACATTTTGGTTCTTATGAGCGCCAAATGAAGAAATTAGAGCTGTGTGAGGTTTGAAAACATTAAGTTGAGTCTTGTGAATGTTGAATGTACAACAATTTTAGCCGTACGAGCGTCCAATAGTCAGTTTGAGTCCTTTGAGCATGAGGTATCATGATAAGTTTTTATGAGCATTGAATGTAGGAGTTTGAGCGGTATGAGCAATCGAATAGGCGGAAAGTGAGACGTGTGAGCATTGAAAACATGAGTTTTAGTCTTGTGAATGTCAAGTGCACAAAAGTTTGAAAATTATGAGCGTCCAATTGGTCATTCTGCGCTTTGTGAGCGTCGATTATTACAATCTGGTCGTTATGAGTATTCAATGTAGCAGTTTGAGCAGTATGAGCAATCGAATAGGCCGGAAAGTGAGACGTGTGAGCATTGGAAACATGAGTTTTAGTCTTGTGAGCGTCAGGTATGACAATCTGGGCTTTATGAATGACAAAATTAAATACATGAAATGATATAATCATATATTTTATCCGATTATATAGCCAATAAAGTTCAGTTTTATTTGTCATAAATCTTGGCTCTTGAAGTTGTGACTCGCAGTAACAACTCAGAGCTTTTATAAATCAATAAAACGCAAATTTATTCACTTCCTTGGTCATTCATATCTTGTAACAGCGGCAATTGTTATTTGTTCCACACAAATTCTAATAACTCCACAGATTTATGGCTTCACCCTCTACCCTCCGGCCCCCGGGGAATGAAAGTGCACGAGGTAATTTTTTAATTTTTTGTGATTTATCAGAAAATCTGAATTGTATAAAACTCACATTATTAACGATTATCTCACGCTCCTCGCTGCAGACAAGGTAAACTCTCAATGCATCAATCGCACCTTTGCGTACAGCTGGGGCCAAGTGTCCCAGGTTATTGGTGAGCTCTGGCACAACTGGCGAGAGAATATTATCAAGCTGTTCCTTTGGTAATGTTGGTAGGACATCAATTAGGACACGGAGCGCATGCTGACGCACTTCCCACTCTGGATCGCGCAGTCTTTCGGATATCTCGGTGAAGGTCGAGCGCTTGTCGATGTCGGGGGGGAACTGTTGCGTGCGTACCTGAATTGTTTTAGGGTAAGGGCTTATTGAAGGGTTGTTCTGGGAAATTCAAACTTTTTTTTTCTTTATTTTTATATAACATGACGGAATTCAGGGGTGATATCTCGGGAATGAGTGCGTTTAGGAAAAAATGTCATAAAATATTTTTTATGGGAAATTTCATGAGCTAAAAAAAAGTTCTTATGATATTTTTCAAAAAACCCAACTGTTTCTGAGATATTCGGGAAATTGTAGATACAGATTTTATCGAGTTCACTCTAATCTTTCCATTTCGTTAAATTTTCGAAATATTTCTCTTTAAAAAAGGGGAAACTTTTTTTGGAGAGGGGGGGGGGAGTTGTTTGGAGGTGGAAATAAAGAGAGCGGAGTAAAATTCAGTGACAAACCACATGCTCCCAGACCGGTGTTAGCTGTATTGGCTGATCGATCTTCTCGGTATCAGGTGGAACAGGTGTCATTCTCTGTCGCATACGACGATGACAGGGTGACACCAATTCTTTATTGATATCCCGTGTTTTAGATGGTCTGGGTTCCTCGACTTGGGGCTGGAGTTGCCCCACCGTTGATCCTGTCATCGGGGACACTGCCTGATGACGCTCGATACACCCGGACATAACTTTTTACGTCTCATCGCGCTGGACCAATCACTCGCAACATTTTTCGTCACATTTTTACCGATTTTTTTCTCACTCTCTCCGAGTCCACAAATTCTTCCTTAACAAAAGGAGAAGATGAAGTGGAATAAATTAATTAAAAAACGAGACTCCAATGAATAAAAAAAATTGATAAATACTTCGAATAGAAATTCAGTAGAATTTTTTATAGAAAGCGTTAGATTTTTCTATTAATTCTCACTCTCTCGGGGTCCACAATTTATTCCTTAACAAAAGACGAAGATGAAGTGGAATAAATTAATTAAAAAACGAGACTTCGATGAACAAAAAAATTTAATAGACAATTCGAACAGAAATTCAGTAAAAAATTTTAGAGAGAGCGCTAGGTTTTTCTACTAATTCTCACTCTCTTCGGGTCCAGAAGATGGAGTGGACTGAATTAATTAAAAAACGAGACTTCGATGAACAAAAAAAATGGATAAATAATTCGACCAGAAATTCTAGGTTTTTCTATTAATTTTTTCATGCGTCAGAAACTATTCACATGTTCAATTTTCCGTCCCGGTAATTCTGTTGAACAAGGAAGTTTTTATATGTAGAACTTTGAAAAACTAACAATTAGACTCTCGCAATAAAAAATGTACTCAAGTTGGAAGACACGTGCTGCAGTCGCAAACGTTTATCGACGAGACCCGGCTAAGATTGCTGATTACTGCATAAGGGCTTTTTTATCGAGCAACAGTAAATTGTTTCAAGTTTATAGTTGGTTAAGGCCTAATACCGTTTTCTATACCGTAGTTATGTTATGCCTGTGGTGGCTCAATGTCTCGACTAAATGTGCGGGTTCAAGGTGGGGCTTCAATACCTCGGGTGGAGGTATTGAATCGGCTGGTGCGTTTATTTATTAATGGTGTTGAGAATTTTATTGGTAATGTCATCATGTAAAGTAGAACGAGCGGAAATAAATCATCTTTTGTCGCGAAAAATCGTTTTTTTCGATTATTTTGGAGGGGATTTTTTCATTATTTCCGACGGAAATTGGGAGGCGTTAGAGTCAATTCTAGTCAGTAATTAGGGGAAGAGGTTTATTAAGGCGTAGGTGAGGCGAGCCCCTCTTAATTATTTATAAAAACACGAAGGCTAATTGTTCTCATCTAATTCTCATTAATGAGACACTGCGACTACCCAAGAAGATTCACTTCATGACAAATTTAATCAACAATTATTGAAATAATTGAATTACCTCATTAATTTATAAAATTATATTAATATTCATTAATTATGTAAAAACGCGAAAGATCATTGTTATCTTCAAACTCTCAAGAAGATTAATTTCATGAAAAATTGAATGAACGATAATTAAAATAATTAACAGAGAACTAGAGAAACTGGATGATTCAGGCAGTGAGTTGATTTCCCATGTCTGTGTCAACTATTCCCCGGCAAAAAGAATTCCAACCAAATCCCCTCCTCTTTATTCGCAAAATTACGAGGAAATAAAAACATAGGACACACGGAAAGCCGGCGAAACAGTTATCGTTTAATCTCAAGACACGAAATGCTGAAGAAAGTGGTACACACGAAAGGCATTTTTATGTGATCGAAGAAACCTTACACCAGGCCATTTCGCCCATTTTTCAATGATCACAAAATTCATTCTCAACTCAACTCAACCCCATAATTAAAAAAGCAATTAAAAACAAAACTAAACAAAGAAAAATCTTCAAAAATTCAATTTTCCTTCCGATTCAATTAGTTTTCCTTTCCTCAGTTATTCATTTCAATTCAAACGGTCATTTAAATCACCTGTTTATTTATCGTGAGACAGACGGATTAATTGTATTTTATTAATTGCACAAATGAAGAAGCAAAAATTAATGAAAACACTCGTGAATGTTTGAGCGCGAACTCGGCCGACCACAGCTGGCATGTGACTGCTGTTTTCCTCCCTCATTGTGGGGTAATTTCTCTCCTCTCTCTCTTACGCTTGGTGCGCATGAATATCGACCAATAGTTGCCCCTACCTGGTGGACTAGGTACAACGCAGTGGAAACACCGGTGAGGTACATTGGTACCCCGAGGTCCTCCGTTCGCCACTGACACCAAATACAGCTGTTAATTAATTTCCAATGGCGATTAAAAAAATCGAAAAGCGGGAGGACCGGCCTTTTCGGTGATTAAAGAATCTTCACTGACATTCTCGCAGCATTTATTTGCGGATTGAATGAATTATTTTGGTGTCATTAATTTCCCCGGGGGGAATTCGATCAATTGTGCATTAATGAGGCGTTGATTAGTTCGGCTGTGAAGTGAAGCAGGATTTTTCAGGATTTTATTGGTAGGGAAGGTTGGGGTAAAACAGACACTTTTGACTTTTTTTAATGTCAATGAGGGGCTGAAATGTTGCTAAAATTTTTTTTTTTTTTCAATACAAAGAACAGCTCTTTCCCTTTGTGACGAGTCTAAATTGAGCTCAATTGATCAATTTGTTTCGGAGTTATGAATAATTTTATTTCTCCCCCCGATTTCTCGACGGAATTACCAATTAAATGAGATTCACAGGGGAGAGACATTAAAGTAGCTCTAGCCTTACAGTAAATTCAAAGATTATTGGAAACTGCAAAAAATTGCAGAAAACTCGATTAGATTGGGAATTCTAATTTTTTTCTCAATTTAATTATCGTTTTGGTGTTTCAAAGAAGAAATGTTTCAAAATTAGGATTTAACCCAGTGTCTTATGTGAAAATCAACATTTCCATTGTAATCAAAGATTAAAATCTGAATTTTTTTTCACCTCGTAAAAAATAATCCACCGTTTTGCAAACAAGTTTTATTATTTATTTATAAGAGGGAAATGTTTGAAAAAATATCAATATTTTGCGAAATTTAATTTAGATAATACTGACTGGGTATGAATTTTTTCAAATTTTTTCCATGCAATTTAGTTGAAAAATTGAAAAACTGAAAATATCCAAAAGTACAGCGAAGCCCGGTCGAACGGTAGAGCTACTTTAATTGAGGAATTGTTCTGCAGTAAAATTTGATTAATCTGTCATTTCGCAGTTTCTTCATTTTTCCATTAATTATTCCAACTATTGTTGAATCAATTTCATTATTTTCATTCGTTATTTTACGCATCCAAATTTCTGTAGTATTACTAAGCAGAAATTCGTGGGAAATGAAAACTTCTTTTGAAAATGCATGAATTTTTTTTATCGAAAAGGAATGGAAATTTCCGTCGGGAATCAGTTTTATTTTCGTGCGTGTTACGCTGAATAGTTCGACCCGTCGAATGAAATTGATGTCACGTCCTCGGTTGATAAGTCAAAGACGCGCTAGGGCTGTTGATCTTGACGATTGTTTAAGGACACGTCGATCAGACAATCCCGAAAATAGGACAAGTTCTACCGATTGAGTCGCTTCATTATTCAGGCGCGTCAAGTGCCTCTCAACTCCTCTGCACGCCACTGAATCCCGAGCTACTAATGTGATAATAGAAATAATGAAAATCGATTTCAGATCTCATTGATTCGCAGACCAGCCCCAGCCCTTCAATAAAATTCCAATGGAAATCCTGTGGAAAAGCCGTAGAATTCCAACAGAATTTTTTTATCAGAGACCTAATTCTTTAATTTTTCCTTTTGTGAGGAAATTATTTTTGACGTTTGTTTTTTCACTCGGCGTCCCCTGAAATAGATCTCTCTAGTTCATTTTAGATATCTCAGGCCGACGAATGTAACTCTCCACCGAAAGAAATGTACGACTACATTAGAAGTGAAACAATTGGGTCAAGTGTCCCCCGGGGGGACCCAGAGCTTGGACACAATAATATAACGAGACTGCCTTCAACTTCCGGTACTCCTGCGTCTCACGCAAGCATCCACCACTTCACCCCCGCTCATTTGGCTCTCATACTTCGAGCGATAACATCGATTCCATCATTTTTCGGCCACTGACTCTGTGATCAATGATGACGGAGCGATACTGATCTGAATGAAATTCATGGGAATTTATGTGGAGTGGAGTTTGTAATCAGGGAAATTCACTATTTTCGGTGATTATGGGCTGTACGGGTCACCAAAATGATGATTTCGATCATTTCGACGGAAAAATTATGGTATACTCAATAGGAACTAGATAACAAATCAATAGAATCTGGAAAATGACATTTTAAACGTGAAATAAAAAATGAAATTTGATTTTTTGAATAAAATTAATTTTACTTGACCCTTACGACCGTCACGATACAAAATGAAAAGCTTCTATGAAATAAAATTTTTAAAATTCAATAAAATAGAAATTTAATTTAATAAAATAAAATTTAATTTTTTAAATTGAGTAAAAAATGAAATTTTATTTTTTAAATAAAAATTTTGGTAATGAAATGTCATGTTGAATGAGATTTTCTGTTCAATAGAATCTTCTGTGAAATTTTTCCATGCATGAAGCATTGAATGTTGGATATTTAATCATTTTATTTGACCCTTATGACTCTTACGATATAAAAAGGAAAATTTGGATGATGACAGGGAGAATATTCCACCAGAAATTATCTTCAGCCCATAATAAAATATTGCTTTTATTTGAAACAATAGATAAATGTCAACACAAACTAAAAATAATTTTCAATTGCATCAGCGACTCCTCAATAATCAATGGTAACCCACCAAAAATTGTCATGAAAGCAAAACAACGCTCACTAATAATCGCCCTAACTCGTTTACATTCATGTATTTTCGCCATTTAATCGATAATTGTCCACTGAATGAGACAAATCATCCAAAGTCATTGTAATCTCTCAATAATCTAACTAATTACATCCTTCGCTGTTCAGTCCTAGAAGAATCGAATTATTCCAACATTAAGAATCGTCGGAATTATCACAAACAATTGTCTCGATGATCTCGTGTTCATTACAGCTCTAAATATAATTTTAAATTAACTAAAAACAATTTTTAAAATTAGCTAACTGATGATTCTAAGGGGAGAGGCTATTATTTCGTGAATACCTCGGTGACGAGTGGTTCAGCGGTATTATTTCGCACAACCACTCATTACAGAGATAATGAGCAATGAACAAAGGAGGAGAAAATTCGAAAAACAGTTGAGTGAAAAAAACTTTCATTCAAGTTTTGGTAATTATCTCGTTCAAGAGTGGTCTGACAAAAAAATTGTCAGAATATTTATCGTAGACAATTAAATTTCCACCAAAAAATGTCTACTGACATTTCCTTCAAAACCCACGTATTCTCGAGATAAATGCAAAAAACTGGAGAGCCATCTTCATCCCCCGAGTGAAATTATAACAGGACGACGAAAAAATCTTCGTAACTATTCAAAGAATCTCCATCCCCTTCTTCGATATGAGAGGCTCTGTCCTCTCGTCTTCCTCTTCGCCCCTGATCCCCTCCCTCGATGAATTCTGCACAGGATTCTGCGAGTACAGAATAACAGCGTAGCTGACCATTCCAATAGCCAGAACAGTGTTGAGATATATGGGAATTCCGAAGAGGATCCAGCAGAGAATTGCAGTGAACACGAGCTCCAAGGCACTGGCAAAAGTCTTGAGGATTGAGTTCAAGGTCTTCAAGAAGAAGCTCGTGATTATTCCCACTGCTGCATTGTTGGCTATTATCACTAGGACTTTGGGATCGAAGAGAATACTGGGGCCTAGGTTGTCGAAGGCACCCAGCAGATTCCCCTGGAGTATTAATACTAGTATGTTGCACATAATACTGTCGATGTACATGAAGACGTTTTGCACGTAGATGTCTATGCTGGCGCCTTGGCCTTTCAGGAGGTACTCGTTGTAGACACCAGCTAGGCAAGAACAGATTGTCTGCAAGAGGAATGATGAAGGATGTGTCAAACTTTTTTTTTTATTGTCCCAAAAAATTTATATTTTTCGCGCTGTTGAAAATTTTCGTCTGAATGCTTGATTTCAATTGAATTTTAATTTGTCGTTGAAAAATGAAATATTCCATTGATTTTCTGTCTGCATGATTGAAAATCAGTAAAATACTTGATTTTTCAGTGCAATTATTCCGTGGGAATTCGGAAAAATCATGAAAATTCAGGAATAAAATTGAAAATTTAATCAAATTCCTTGATTTCTACCTAAAACTTCGAAAACAATCGAAATAACATTCGAAAAATAATCCACCCGGGCCTTCAGCGTTATTTATTATTTTGAATTCGTTTTTTTGATGAAAAGTTTGTGTTGAAAACAAAATTTATTACCTGAATGAATATGAACAATGTGTCAAACTTTTTTTTTTATTGTCCCAAAAAATTTATATTTTTCGCGCTGTTGAAAATTTTCGTCTGAATGCTTGATGTCAATTGAATTTCAATTTGTCGTTGAAAAATGAAATATTCCATTGATTTTCTGTCTGCGTGATTGAAAATCAGTAAAATACTTGATTTTTCAGTGCAATTATTCCGTGGGAATTCGGAAAAATCATGAAAATTCAGGAATAAAATTGAAAATTTAATCAAATTCCTTGATTTCTACCTAAAACTTCGAAAACAATCGAAATAACATTCGAAAAATAATCCACCCGGGCCTTCAGCGTTATTTATTATTTTGAATTCGTTTTTTTGATGAAAAGTTTGTGTTGAAAACAAAATTTATTACCTGAATGAATATGAACAATGCGTTAATATTGAGGTGAAAATTGGAAACTGTGCTTCCGGAGTTCAAGTTGACGTGCTTCATCATGCAGCCCAGTGTCAATATCACTAGAGACATCCATTGCTTCTTCGATAATTGCTTCTTAAAAACTACCTGAAGGCAAAATAAATGATTCATCATTCAGTCCATCACTCAAACAACAGAAGAGTCGAATATTCATCCCAGAAAATTACCTGGAAAATAATTCCAGTGATTACTACCCTAAACTGCAGAAGGAGATAGTAAGTCGTGGGGTCGAACGCAGCGAGATTTATGAACGCTAAATTGTTGTACAGACAGTAGAGGAATGATGGGATCATATACAGCAACAACACCTTTCTGTGCTTTATCATCTCGGGCAAGAGAGATGAAATATCATTACTGAAAGCCAAAAAAAATATTGATAATAAAATTAAATTTTGATTTTCCTCGTAATCGTGGGAAAATATCTGAACGAATATTTCCAGGAGAAAATGTCATAAGAGTTTTTCAAAACGTCAAAAGTTGATTAAATTTTAAAAAATATGTATTTTCTGACATTTTCAACTTCACAAGTATAAGAAACATTTTTCTTTCTTATTTTTATAAAAATTGTCATTTGTTTATTTTTATGTTTTATAAGAAAGTTGATTTTTGTCACAAAATTATTTCACTCCAGCAGTTTTAGTGCGACTGATGGGCTGATAATGGAAAAAGAGGAATAATACTCACTTCCCGCAGTATAATATTGTAGATACTATCAGTTTGAGCACTTCAGTCATAAGCACAACGGTGACAACGTTGTATTTGTAATCTCCTTTGGTTTGAGACCATGTTACAATTATCCCTGGAACAAAATATCAGTCATTATCAGCTCAATTATCTGTACAATTATTTTAAAAGATTACAATAATTACAATAATTTTCGAGGTATTGACGTAATAAACAGACATTTTCTGAGACATAATTTCTCCAGATTTCAGGGTATTTTGAGTCATTTCTACCCAAATGAGAGGATCAAAAAAATCTCGAAAAAAGGGAAAAATGGGTCCAGTTTTTCGCAAATATCTATGTCTAATAGGAAAATGTAATTCCCAAATTCTAATCTCAAAATAAAACAATTCATAATGACGACAAAAAATTCGATGGAGTTGTCAATTCATAATGAAAAAAAATGAAAGAAAAAAAATCATGAAATTTCAGGTTTCACTGAAAATTCAGTAAAATTCCAGAATTTTAAGCAGCACAAAGACGAGAATTCCTCAATTTCAGTGCCAAATTACATTGAATTTTCCGTGAAATCTGAATTTTCAATAACGAAATCCCTCGAAATTCCGTGGTAATTAAATTCGATAAAAACTTCCAAAAAGTGTACAACAGATCTATGCATTGGTTCTTAGAAATACTTAACAATTCTGTTTTCTGAAAAAAATTTCATTAATTCCCAGAATGAGACAACCCTAATACCAAAAAAATGGTTCGAGTTTTCATGAATATCTTTAATTCCAATTGAGCATAACACGAACATGTTCATTCTGGCCTTCCCTGTGCTCTCATTTTTCCTGTAAAAACATTTCCTATTTCCCTTCAATTCAGACGCATCCACAAATAGCGAGCGCCACCACAGCCAAACTCCATTCCATCCATTTTTCAATGAAAATGAAAATTAGTAAAATGAAAATTTTAATCATGACTATTATTAATGTTGTTTACCTTGATTTACAAAGAGGGCCATGTAGGATATGAATATAACCGCACTCCATCGTCCCGGGAACAGTTCTCCCCAGCTGACGTTTCCCATTTTCTCGAGTCATACATTTATTTCAAAAAGTCAAAAATATTCTTCGACTCAAATTAATTCACACAACTCCGGAAATGGAAAAAAAAATGCACTCTTGGAGCGACGTTGATGGCATCAAACGCCGGACTATTCGGAGCTGAGTGTGGAGTCACCAGTTGTAAATAATCGTTGACAGACCCTGTGCGCATGTGCGTGCACACGACCGCATGGATTCATTCCTATAAATGTTTGGAAATAGACCTCATGGTCAACTGCACTGAGTGATTGCATTAGCAGTAGAGTTGGCCGTTAATACCACGAGATTGCACCGGCATTATCCATAATTGATGGATGTTGAAAAAGCTCGAAAGATTATTGACGAATTTCGCACTTTTACAGAACTTGTCGCTAATTGATTTTGCAGTTAATATCGGTTTTTTGGGAATAACTCGGAAAGGGGAGGAGATAGCGGAATTCTTGCCAAGACCTCTTCCGTAGGGAATGGGAAGGGCTACAAAAAAGGTCCTGACAAGTTTTCCGGTATCTCCGGTAGTTTTCGAGATATTTACGAAAAACTCAGGCCATTCTTCTGTTCTTCCAATTTGGTCATTGTAGTTTGAAATCAGTTGTTTGTAAATATCTCGGGAACTGAAGGAGATAGCGGAGTTCTTGTCAGGACCTTTTTTGTAGCCCTTGAAATTCCCCACAAAAAAGTCTAATGAAAATTTTCGCTATCTCTCTTAGATTCCGAGATATCTGAGAAACAAAAACTAGTCGAGAACGGAAATCCACTCGCAATGTTCCATCAGGTTCTACCGTTCCTCACCTCCACCTGTGTCAGGTTAATCACCTGTTCCCTCCCGTAACCTAACCTCACTAGCACCTCTGAACACGTTTTTTCAAAATGCTACAAAAAGATGTTTCTTTTTTTTAATCAATAACGAATCACAATTTCTGAAATTTCACGTTGAAATCACTTTTTTGAAGATATCTCACAATCGAGACGAAATATCGAAATTTCAGTCTCAACCTTTTTTGTAGCTCTCGATTTTCCCCACAAAAATGGTCTTCAGTAAAAATCGTCTATCTCCCACAGATTACGAGATATTTACAAAAAACATTCACCTATTTCTATTTTTCTCACCCGTAATTAATTAAAGTCTTCCACAAGTTAATGAGCAAATCCACTCAATCAGTCCCACGTAATCTGATCAATCAATCAACAAAATGATTAATTTTTCGATAATCAATTCATCGCGATTTCCCCAAATGTTTCGTTCATTACTCGTTAGTCGTCTCTTCAAGAAGAGTTATGAAAATAATGCAAAGACTAATGAGGAGCTCGAGAACGTCACGCCCAGACACTCGATAAAAAAATGATAACACAATCAGTCCCTGATAATGACCAATTCAATCAATCCCGGAAGTTGAACATTTTCGTATTTTCGTCAAAACTTCCAAGAATTACAATTTTATTAAATCTATCTAATTCACGATCATTAATTAAGTGATCAATTATTTTTTAATAAAACCTCTAGCCCTAGATTTTCCCTTTTTTTACGACAAACTCAACTCGAAAGTGAATTCCCCTAAAAAATTCTGCTGAATTGACAATTTCATTTCCCTCCTCGCGAGTGGAAATGTTCTCAAACATTTTTTTTCAACGAATAAGACGATGATAAATTGCTGAATAAGATGAATATGTTTGTCCCCTGCGTACTCACGGAATTGAGAATAAAAAGATAAAGTGGGAGGGGGTAATCATTTCCTGGAAACATTTCGACTGCTATCTACATCCGTTTCAATATGCTCTCTTTTATTTATATTATTACTATAATTCATCTACTATTGTACAGTCATATAATTTGTTATTTCGTTATGTACATAGTCGAGGTCAAGAAGATTCACTTTATCGTATTTTTGTTTACTTGTATCGAATAACCTGAGGGGAGCGGACAACCTGATGAGTCGAACTAAACGAGTTTTCTCAATTAGCATTAACTGCGAGATCGAGTCGCTATAAAGAAAAATATCGAGGAGGAAATGTCCTTCGAGTTTTTTTTTTCAAAATTAAAAAAAAAATGTACACAATAACAATTAAGAATTAGTTTTTTTTGGAATTCGACTCCTATACAGCTAATTAACTTCCCGATCTATCGGGTAGTTATTGTAATTTCATTCAGTTTGATATCAAAATTTGTGGCATTCATGTAAAATAGGGAAAAAAAATATCCTTCTAACATTTAAAATATATTTTCGATTCTTTCTGAAATATTTTTTGGGCTATTTTACATGAATGCTACAATTTTTTATTAAAAAACAAACGAAAATAGCTGTGTAGGAGTCAAATTTCGAAGAACTAATTCGTAATTGTTATGGAACCCATTTTTTCAAAAATTTTGGACTATTTTTAACACTTTAAGCGTCCGCGGGGCAAACGAACAATAAACAATAAATTTTTTGCACTAATTATTAACTTTTAGATATATTTTAGTAAATAAACAATCTTCAATGTGTGAGAAATCTCATTCCAATGGCCCGCGACTTTTGAAACTGATAATAGTCTCCCCTTAGAACGAATATCGCATTATTTTTTTAATTTTCGATTTATCATCAACTTAATTATGAACCAAATGAGATCCACAATGGAGTCAACTTAATCAACTAATTCGTTTACAGTAAAATTTGATTAATCTTTGATTTCGCAGTTTCTCCATTCTTCCATTAATTATTTCACTTATTGTTGATTAAATTTCTCATAAAATGAACCTCCTTGGATAATTAATTATAACATTATTTCTTTCTTCATTAGTCGCAGTACCTCATTAATGAGAATTCGAAGATAACAATTATCCTTCGTGGTTTTATAAATAATTACTTCAATATATTTTACACTGTGACTTTAATATAAAATTTATCAATAGCAAATGGGAGGCACTCGCCTCACGTACGTCTTGATGAACCTCTTCCCCTAATTAATGATTAGAATAGTCTCTCATACCCACCACAAACATAACATCAAGCCTCTCCTAATTTGTTAAAGTCTCCGAACATTACCGTCATTCTCTTGTCAATAATTTTCAAATTTTGGGAATTGGAAGCACAAAAGTGAAAAAATAAGAGACGAACGTGGTTTTTATACTTTCAGAGGTGATTACTGCTTCGATAATTAGTTTTTAGGCGTGAAGCTAATGAACTCATGGTCTGTCTGAAGATTACAGAACGAAAAGTCGAGAAATTTTGGACTTATTTAATTCAAGTGGTGAAAAATCCAAATTCAAATCCACTTCTCCCTGAGATAATTAACGTAATTAATTCCGGGAAAAGTCTCACCATCACCTTTACCCCTTCAGTCCACAAATTCAATCGTAATTGCAAATAAAGTGAAATAAATTCAATTACCTAACTGTCCACAGAACAAGTGATCAAATAAAATTCAGTACATCATGAATTCCCTCGATATCTTATTTAATGGCACTTGATTGCAATAAATGGACGTTTAATACTTTATTCATTTTATTGAAAAAATCTCTTCTAAATTCACGTAATCAATCGAAAAAGTGTAAGTACCCGGTGTATAAACAACTCGAAAATGAAAAACATCTGTGATTACGAGAACCAAAAAAACAGAATTGTTGAATCACTCACTTTAGTCGGAATTTTGCAATTGCTTGAGAATCTGCTGAGATATCATTTTAGTTGCTTCACTGGCATTTGGAATAAGAAATCTGTCCATGTCAGTTATTACTGGATTCTCATTGTACTGTGTTGCACTACCGTATTTGAATGTTATCAAGTCTGGGTGACGCTTCCGGGATGTTATTTTGACGATTGTCGAGAGGGGACGTTTCACAATCACGTGTGCTGCGTCTCGACGTCCTGGGATCTCTCGAAGGACTATTAAATGGCTGTCGGTTACCAGGAGATGACTGGAAAATTTTTTCAAACGATTATTGAATGATGAATTCAGATTTTTTTGAGGCAAAAACAACTACATTGTCATCATAATTAATTAAGGCATTGACGAAATGTTTTTTTCAATAAATGAGTAGCTATTGTTGCTAACAAATTAATAATTTGCTTCCAAATGGATTCTCTTTTTTAAAATTCTTATTTCACTATTCTCGTCTACTATTTTTTCATCTCACAGTACTATCATCAATTGAAATGTCATCGAAATTTATATTCACGAAAAAATTGATGAAATTCGATTGATTCCTTCGAAGAAAATTTCTAATAAAAATGAACAAAAAATCTATTCTCGCGTAATAGTCACCTGTCATAAACATATCCGTTAACTTTGACCTCCTGGCACTTGAAGGAATGTAGAAGCTGTGGATCCTTGAGCCACTGCTGAATGGAGACCACCTCGACAGGCTCCTCGCTCTCTGGAGTGCTCATGACAACGTCAGGATCGTGATCGTCGTCTATACTGAATACTGGTGCTGTGTGCCTGGACCTCCTGGGCTCTGGGTTCTTCTTCTCACTCGTGGTATCACTAGCAGAAGTGTTGACGATGTAATCGAAGAGCTTTCCCTTCACCTCCTGGCTCTTCAGCTTCATTGCCAGTCCAATTTTCCCGAATAAATCTGAATTATTGTTCTTGACTTTCACAGGGCTTGCCTCGTTGGAATTAGCCTCTGATAAATTTGCATTGCACACTAGGCAATGCTGAGAGTTGTGGTCCACAAGATTCGATACAACTTCATCACCAAAATATTCATGAATTGCTGAAAAAAGAAAATTATTGACAGCACATTTTTCCTGAGTTAATTGTGTTAATCATATTAGAAATGGCATGAGAATATTATTCAAACTAAATATTCCGATAATTTCATTGTTAAATTTATTCTACATTCAATTCTGTAATTCGAGTTATGCTATTGGATTTTTGCAAAATAAAAATAAGAAATGAAAGTCAGTGTAAAATATACCGAAGTAATTATTTATAAAATACAAATTTAATCAACAGTAATTGAACTGAAATAAAGCTCGTTGATGAATTTCTTTAATCATCCCCTACCTTGATATCCATTGGCAACCATGCTGACGTACTGCGTGTGCTTCTGAAGGAACGAAGCCACAACCATATGAGTATATCTGTCCTCCTCCTGTCTCCCACTCCCCAGGAAGCAGAGGTGTTCCCCCCCAGCATTGGAGCCCACTGCGAGTGCCTGCCTCTGGGCCTGAAGGAGACCCTGGACAGCAGTGGCGAAGGCAGCTGGCTCCTGGAGCATAAGATTGCAATCCAGGTGGAAGGCTGTGGGGAGGTGTCCAGCGTTGTACTGCTCAGCAGGTCTGCAGTCCACGAGGAAGAACCTCACCGACTCCACGGGCCCGCCAGAGGACATCGGCGCCTCCACAGAGTTCTCCACGAGCTCCTGGGCTGACACTGGCAGGCACAACGCGTGAGAAATGAATTTCTCGTCACCCCCTTCACCGAACATTATGGAGTAGAGATCCTGCTTGAAGGAGGTGGGGGTCTTCATGGCGTAGTACTGGGCGAGGGAGCAGAAGTCAGTGACGTCTTCAGCTTCTAGGGCACAGGGCATTGCCGAGAGGGTGTCCACTATGCTCTGCTTGTCCTCGTCCTTCATACTGAGGATTTGCTCTCTGGTGAAGGCCAGTGATTAATCATTATTTGAGTAAAAAAAGAATGGAAGTTTCAAATTAATTATGAGGGCATTTGCAATGCAGTGATTGAATTTATTTCACTTCATTTGTAATTGCAATTAATTTTGCGAATTGATTTTGATGGAAAAATCTGAAAATTATTGACATGTCATTTTATCATCTTCAAACAGGCCATGACTTCATTAGCTTCACCGACGCAATCTCTCTTATTTTTTCACTTTTGTGCTTTCAATTGCCAAATTTTAAGAATTTTAAGAATCAATGCGAGAAATTAGAAGCTTGATGTTATGTTAATTAGGGGAAGAGGTTCATCAGATATACTGAAGTAATTATTTATAAAAACACGAGGAAATTGAAGCAATAATCATTAAAATAATCAATGGAAAAATAGGGAAATTGCGAAATCAAGGATTGATCTAATTTACTGTAGACGACCTAGTATTCATTTGTTCAAAATCTGGGTTAAAAATTAATTGCATGCGGAGTATCATGAGAAATTTCCTCACGTGAAAATTAATTGAACATAAAAAATTGATTCGATCAGCAAAACATATGTTTAAACTTCATATTCTATTCTGAGATATTTATCCACTGAATGTCAACGATATTCCTCATCAATTCCTAGCATTACCTTGCATTTATCACCATGATTAACGAAAGAAACATCATGAAGAATGGATCAGCCTGCATGAAGTAGAGATCCCACATTGTGCAGACAGCTGGGAGAGAGCAGACCCCCGCAAATAGTGTGTTCACCCAGCCCTTGGTGTATTGATCTGGTGACACTCTCTTGGTGTCCAAAAAGGAGCATAATTCAGGCTCGTGGTACAGTAAGAGGAGTCTCAGGACTGCGCTGCTCGTTTCGCCCCTGTAAAAATCCAATAAAAAATGATAAAACGTCGTTGAAGGGTGGCTGAGGGGGTGGCGATGTTTACCTGGGGATGTAAACGTCTCTTATGGCCTCGAATAAATTGTACGTAGCTGAACGAGGCAGTTTGAGGGCCACCAGTGGCCCCAGGAGCTCCAGCCAGCCATTTCCCCTCGCGTACGTCTTTCCTCTACTTTTGCAGTAGAATGTCAGAATGGACTCCAGGTCGGAGAGGACGGATACCTTGTCTTCGTCGTCGTTTCCAAGTTTTCCTGGGGATAACTCATGATTCAAAGGAATTCTCCGATAGAAATTGTTCGGCGTTTTGGGATCTTTCATTGTCAAACAATTTTTTTTGTGGTAAAATCGCGAAAAATTAACTTGCACCCCCTGACCCGCCATTGGAGTGCGTAAAAATAAATAATTAGTCCGAAAAAATTGATTCTTTATTGTTTGTTTGTTTAAATTCGTTTATAGCAGCCAGTTTCCGACACATTATACGTCGAAATACCTCAAGATCATTTATGTAAACTGTAAGGGATTCTGGGGAAATCCTTAATATTTAACTATGAGTGTCTCTGGTGAATTTAAGGTGCTGTGTTATATAATTACCACAATTTCAACTTATACTCAAATCAAAGAATTCGTCTTTACCAACAAGCTGCTGGCAGTCCTCTCTGATGACATTCTGCTCGGCGAGGTCGAACACCTCGTTAAAAAGTATCAGCTGATTGCCCCTGTCGGTGACGTCGAGGCACGCCTGCCAGACGTCGGGTCTGAGGTTCCCCGGGACTGGCTGGCCCTTGCAGATAGCGTAGATATCGGAGGCGGAGGGCACCTCGGTGTCCAAAAGCGCCGCTTCCAGCTCCAGAACCCTGGACAAAGACACGAGATATGGTAAACAGGTCCAGGGAAATTGGGATGGACGGTTAAGGATGTTTTGGCCCTTTCGGCCAAAATTCAATTTTTTTTTCATTTTTCTGGCAAATTATTGATCGGATTGACGCGAAAAAATATACCATTTTTGCGTTTTATCATTACTTAATCACTCCCGAAATTTCATGATCGTGCAATCATTTTCCTGCGTTTTTTCTAAAACTTCAGAAATTCACAAAACTTTAGAGAAACAAAAAACTTCAGAAATTCACAAAACTTTAGAAAAAACGCAGGAAAATGATTGCACGATCATGAAATTTCGGGAGTGATTAAGTAATGATAAAACGCAAAAATGGTATATTTTTTCACGTCAATCCGATCAATAATTTATCAGAAAAATTCAAAAAACGTGAATTTTGGCGAAAAGGCGAAAATACATCCATAAGAGAAATTCGAGTTTCGTTGGAGGATCTTAAATAAATGAATCACCTAAATGGGGATATGATGGCTTCCACACCTTCAAGAATGTTTTAATTGGCAGAAAAAAATTATTTGAAGTGAAAATAACAAAACTAAAAACAGAGAATTAAATTTTGAAATAGTTTAATGCAGCCGAAACCCCTAATTTCTGGACGACTGGGCCATATTTTTTTTATTTATCCAATGTCCATCAAGAGGAAAAATAATTAATCACATGATTACACAAGAATAATGTTATTGAAAGGTGAAATAATCAGTACAGTTTTCGGTTTATTTATAGAATATTCAAAGCAAGTTTAAATCGTCAAGAAATTGACCTGTTTAAAGTATTCTCAAATGTCTACACGATTATTTTCAAAATTGAACTCGGAAAATGAGAGGAAAAAAAGGCAAATGATCGGATGAGCGATTATATCTTCATGCGATGTTCTTTGAACATTTCCTAAATTATTAAGTATTTTTGTTGCCATCACAGCCTTCGAAAGTGACTCACGAGACGCGGATGGTGACACTTGTATGTAAATTGGGGTTTACGGAAGCATCTGCGTCGATTCAGGGTGTTAATAAAAATTCGTGATTAGTGTCCTGATGGGAATTTAATATTTTCTGTTCAAGTATTCATCGTCATAAACACGAAATGGGTAGAATGAAATAATCATCGATTTTCAAGGTAAAATAGAGCATCGATCACAGGTTTTTTTAATTAAAAAAAAATGAGGCAGAATGTCGTAAAACAGAATATCTTTAATCTCAATAACTTGAGAACCGCAGAGTGAAATTTCCCCATTTTTTTTTCATTCTCGAGGTATTTCTTCAAGCTTCAAAATGACATCCGACTCATCTAAATCGTGTCGTTCAGTCAGGAGATATCGACGGCTGACGAAAGCTCGTTCCACCCCACTCTCTCTTATGAGAAAAAAAATAACGACAAGTCACTAAATAAACAAAGTTCGGTAACATCTGACTCCCCTGCACCATCTGACTCCACAGGGCAATTATAACCTTCACAAATCACGAAAGTAACCCCCGGAGGGCACAAGAGACGCGGAAACAACTGACTAATTGACTTTTAATGAATTCTAGAGGGAACGATCGACGGAAAATGGAAATGAGACTCACCAAGTGTTTTCATTCTCCTCCAGAGCCATTTTGGTAAACGTCAGAGCGAATTATTTCGTAAAAACAGGCCTCACCCACCACCTACAACTTGTAATCAGCGATAATCAGTGGATAACTTCTCTATTATCATGATTTTGAGTCACTCGTTCTGGATTTGTGGTTATTCCCGCATTTTTCATTTTTCAATTCCACGTAGTGCACCTGTGACGAGTCAGCGAGTTGATAAAACTCGACGATTAATTGGGTGATGGGTGCGCGGTTATGTTGACATTTTCCCTCTGCGCATGCGCACGCGGAGACCGCGACGGGAACTTTTGAATTTTGGAAAGTAGAGGCGAATGGGGTAAAGTGGATACTCGATTTTTCTTTCTCAAGTTTTCGGGTATGAGAAATCCGAATCCGGTGGTATTTTTTATGTAAGTGCGTGCAATTAATAGTTATAAACAAATTAAGTGGTTTTTTTGATGATTTTTTTTTATGGGAAACATTGGCAAATAGAAGAAAATGTTCATGACAAAAGTTGTTCCTTTTTGTGTAATAAATAATCATCAATTTTTTTAATCAAAATCCATCAATCCGTTGCCGAAATATGGTCCACCAGGTGAACGCGGGAGGATGCGCGGCGCGCGCAGTCCGCTCGAACCTCTTCCGTGTCGCGTACGCACCCATTTTCACATCATTTTGAAGCTTTCGTCATGGATGTAACAATTGAAGGAGTAATTCAAAGAAGATAATCCTACATAGAAGTCAAAATTCAATGAAATGAGGGTGAAGCGAGCGAATGATCGATCTGTACAACTCCAGACCGTTACTTGAAAACGAAAAAAATACTCATCCGCATCCACATATCAATTTCTGACGATCGCGTTTCAATGATCAATCGGAAGCGGGGGTAAATGAATGAAAGTCACGTAGGAAACGGAAATTTGGACAACAGTTTCGTGAGGAAAATTCCCCATTTTTTGATTGATTTCAATTAATTACGAAGATCGACAGAAATAGGGATTAATTTAATAAAAGGCGATAGTGAATTCTAATCGAATTGAGAGGTAAAATTAATTGCTCGGCTGCATTCTAATACAATTCCCTTTATTGGGATTAGGATTTCTTCATTTTTATGCATAAAAAATAGAGACAATTTTAGCAATTTCAACGTATACAATTCTAGAATCTTCCGGAATGATAATGAAATTTCAAAAATCTCATCTCAATGAAAACACTTGAAATTAAAATATAAATTTTCACATGTTGAATAAAAAAGCGCTTCAAATTAATGAAAGATATTTACAACAAAAAAATGAAAAAATAAAATCTCTAGATTACGCACAAAAATATATACAAAATTGTGTAGGGGAGGGTGGGGTAAAACGGACACTTTAGATTTTTTGTAATTACTCATAACTCAGAAACAAATTTATCAATGGAGCTCAGTTTAGACTCATCACGTCATTAACATTTTTAAAAAAGTCAAAAGGGTCCATTTTACCCCAACCTCCCTTAAAATTTGCAAATGGTGGAGGTAAAGTCTTATTAAAAAATCGTAAACATCTCTGCGGCCTGCGCATGCGCAGAGTGAAGCCGCGAAGGCGTGAAGAAACCCGCGATTTTTTGCAAGCTTTTACAGTTGTTTTTGGAACACCGAAGCCAAAGGAATTGTTGCGTGTGGGGGATTGGCTGAGTCGGTTGAGTTGAGGGTTTTGGAGACAAAATTGCGAATTTTATGAGGGCTTGATGGTGTCGGCAAGTTTTTAATTATGTTTATCAATTTATTAATCAGCGGAAATCATTAAAATCGAATTTTTTCACCGGGAAAGTACGAAAATTGGTGTTCCATAGATTTTTACTTATAAAAAATAGACACGAGTTCTCAACAATTTCGAGAACATCTGGAATTTAGACACTTTTAAAAATGGTGGACGAAGCTATTGCCGTTGAAGAATAGTGAACCATGTGATGACCCATTTCACAAATTTATTCGATCGTTCGTGACCTCCTGATAAACTTGAGAAATATCAAATTGAGTTTGTGAATTTATTAAGACGAAAAATTGCCGGGAAAACATCAAATTGAGGTATTTTTGGGAGTGAAAAATGGAGTCGAGTGATTACTACGTTGGGGTACCCCCCAGATCCTCCCTCTGCTGCACAATTTGCACGGTTGATCCTGATGAAATAAGGGACTCCAGTGCAAAATCTTATTTTCACTGGAAAACTCTAAAGTGCAGGTGAATAACTAGAATGCTCCAATGATTATTTCTTCTTTGAATGCATGAGACATGCAATACTGTATTGATAATACATTTATCGGAAGAAAAAAAGATAAAATCAAGTAAATATGAAAAAATATAATGAATAAATAAAACAGAAATAAAAAATAAAAACCAAATGATTAGAAAAATGGCGTTTAAGATTGTTTTCTGCCATCACTAACAGAGAAATTCACATAAAAAAAAAAAATTAGTCAATAATTAATTATGATTTGTTTTTGATGAATAGTAATCGATGATTTTGTTTCATTGATTTTTAATTGTTGCGGTGAGTGAAGGAGTAAATATAATAAAAAAATCGTTAATCATTTTTTGTTCTAGATACATCATAAATATGATGCCAGCAACAGTAATAGCATCACCAATTCACAAGTCCAAAGGGGCATTTTACGTGATTACAACAAGGAATTTCTACAAAACTGGGATTCTGCAGAAAAATCTCATGAGGATTAATTTAACAGTAATTATCTTTCCACAATTACAGCTACTTTATCAATTACTAGAAATGTGGATTCTAAACTTGGCATTTTGGATATAAAATTGAGCGATAAAACTATTAAATACAAAATATTATTAAATAGCAAAAAGAATGAATCATGAGAAGAATGAATTGATATTTTAATGATTTTAATTATTTTCAATCTTCAAAAATAATTAAATTACCAAACATAATTTTTAATCTCCAGTTCAGACTCATCGAGTTAATTAACTGTATTACGATTTGTGATCCTTCAGCATTCGGTGCCACAAATCGTCACGCCTAAAGCATACGTCGACTGTCTAACGTACACTTTCGAGTTCTACCTGTCCCCCATGTGGAACAAGGTGTCCAATATCTACATGAAGGGCTCGAATTTTCTCAGCAACTCAGAGTTCAATAATGCGATAACGAGCACCATCAATTTGACGTCGAGGGAGACAGCCCCGCAGGACGAGATCCGGATGAAACTGACTGCTGTGGCTGCTAAATTGCCACCGATGAGGCTGGAAAATCTGCCAATTCTGTCCATGACCATTGGCCCTTTCCTGCAGGATCCTGAGGGTGTTCTCGATGTCAGCAGGTTAGTCATGCTGAGAGTCACCGTGATCCCGAGGTAAGAGGGATGATAGAACGAAACATTCCCCATAGAATTCTATAGGAATTCTATTGAACAATCCTATTTGTTTTTTTGCGCTGATTCTATCAGATATTCTACAAGAAAAAAAAAGTCAATAGATTTCGAATTTCTGTTCGAATTTTTCTCTTGAGATTTTGTTCTGTTAGAAATTATTGGGCACAAATTTTCCAAACAAAGTTTTTTCCGCTGGTTTTTTTGTTTTGCATTACAGAATGCGAGTGGAGAAGAATTGGAAAGTTTATGCTCAAGCATTCTTATAGAAAAAATCTCAAGAGACAATTTCAAACAGAAATTCCAAATCTATTGACCTATCGATTGATGTATGAATTAAATTTTAGGGCTGAATAGGGCTGAATAGGGCTCACCGATACTGTAAGCTGTGTTGAAATTGAATTAAACGATCTCACTCTCTTTTCAGTATGAAAAAAGCGATTCTCAAGAGAGTTATGAAGAAGATTCCAGCAACCTGTGCATTCCAGAATTACGCAGAAATTCGAAGACACTGGAAAAATATGGTAAATACTCAATTTGAAAACCATTAATTCTTCCACAACTCTAGAAACCTCTGGATTAACAATGAGACTGCAAAAATCTCATCTCAATGAAAACCCTTGAAATTAAAATATAACTTTGCGAATTCCAAAGCAAAAACTTAAATTGAAAACGCTTGCAGTACGGCTACCGCCTGCCCAAAACCGACGAAGGGATCCTCTACTACGAGGTCTACTTCCCCATCCCCTCAGCGACAATCGAGTACTTCATCTACCCAGACATCTGCATCCGCCAAGACATGTCGCAGCGCCCAGCCGAGGCCGCCGACCACTTGGAACGAAAATTCCTGCAGGACCTCATGGTTTCGATGCCTGCAGTCCTGGACGAGCCCCTGGAGATCCGCCCGTCGAGCCAGCAGAACAATTCCCAGTGCCAGGGCTTCCAGCAGGCCTCCCAGATCGATTCATCGGGCTTCACAACTCCCCTTCCCGTCGCTGGCTCCCAGACTCTGGCGGATTCCGCTCGTCTCAGCTTATCCGGAGGGCCTTTGCGGCGGGACGCATCGACGCAGATGTCCCCCACCCCCAGCCTCAGGGGAAAATGCCCGGAAAACGAGAAGAAGAAACTCAAGTTCGATAATTTGAAGAAAATTCAACAGATCCACAACGTCACCCCCTCCACGAGTCTCAAGGCCCCGAGGGGAGGGGGGAGGGCCCAGAAGCCGGTGAAGATGTTCTTGAGTGAGTCTGAGATGTCGAAGTATTTTCAGAATTCTTCGGGAGCTTCGCAGAAGAAGAATATCAATATCTTCAGTCCTTATGACAGGAGGAAGGGGAATTTCGATGGTTCGGGGAGTGGGACTTTTTCGGGACTCAGCGGAGGGGAGGGGGACAGGGGGAGGGGGAAGAGGTCGAAGGTGAAGATTGTTGGCGTGAGCTCAGGGACTTCCTCAATATGCCCCTGATTTTTTTATTCTCCAATTATTTGCTGAATTATTCCAGTGATGAGGGGTACTGGAGGAAAATATCGAGAGACGTTTTTTATTGGGAATTCCATCGTATGCAAGAAAGGTTTCTTGATACAGATGGTCCTCACCCCCAGCCTCAGGGGAAAATGCCCGGAAAACGAGAAGAAGAAACTCAAGTTCGATAATTTGAAGAAAATTCAACAGATCCACAACGTCACCCCCTCCACGAGTCTCAAGGCCCCGAGGGGAGGGGGGAGGGCCCAGAAGCCGGTGAAGATGTTCTTGAGTGAGTCTGAGATGTCGAAGTATTTTCAGAATTCTTCGGGAGCTTCGCAGAAGAAGAATATCAATATCTTCAGTCCTTATGACAGGAGGAAGGGGAATTTCGATGGTTCGGGGAGTGGGACTTTTTCGGGACTCAGCGGAGGGGAGGGGGACAGGGGGAGGGGGAAGAGGTCGAAGGTGAAGATTGTTGGCGTGAGCTCAGGGACTTCCTCAATATGCCCCTGATTTTTTTATTCTCCAATTATTTGCTGAATTATTCCAGTGATGAGGGGTACTGGAGGAAAATATCGAGAGACGTTTTTTATTGGGAATTCCATCGTATGCAAGAAAGGTTTCTTGATACAGATGGTCCTCACCCCCAGCCTCAGGGGAAAATGCCCGGAAAACGAGAAGAAGAAACTCAAGTTCGATAATTTGAAGAAAATTCAACAGATCCACAACGTCACCCCCTCCACGAGTCTCAAGGCCCCGAGGGGAGGGGGGAGGGCCCAGAAGCCGGTGAAGATGTTCTTGAGTGAGTCTGAGATGTCGAAGTATTTTCAGAATTCTTCGGGAGCTTCGCAGAAGAAGAATATCAATATCTTCAGTCCTTATGACAGGAGGAAGGGGAATTTCGATGGTTCGGGGAGTGGGACTTTTTCGGGACTCAGCGGAGGGGAGGGGGACAGGGGGAGGGGGAAGAGGTCGAAGGTGAAGATTGTTGGCGTGAGCTCAGGGACTTCCTCAATATGCCCCTGATTTTTTTATTCTCCAATTATTTGCTGAATTATTCCAGTGATGAGGGGTACTGGAGGAAAATATCGAGAGACGTTTTTTATTGGGAATTCCATCGTATGCAAGAAAGGTTTCTTGATACAGATGGTCCTCACCCCCAGCCTCAGGGGAAAATGCCCGGAAAACGAGAAGAAGAAACTCAAGTTCGATAATTTGAAGAAAATTCAACAGATCCACAACGTCACCCCCTCCACGAGTCTCAAGGCCCCGAGGGGAGGGGGGAGGGCCCAGAAGCCGGTGAAGATGTTCTTGAGTGAGTCTGAGATGTCGAAGTATTTTCAGAATTCTTCGGGAGCTTCGCAGAAGAAGAATATCAATATCTTCAGTCCTTATGACAGGAGGAAGGGGAATTTCGATGGTTCGGGGAGTGGGACTTTTTCGGGACTCAGCGGAGGGGAGGGGGACAGGGGGAGGGGGAAGAGGTCGAAGGTGAAGATTGTTGGCGTGAGCTCAGGGACTTCCTCAATATGCCCCTGATTTTTTTATTCTCCAATTATTTGCTGAATTATTCCAGTGATGAGGGGTACTGGAGGAAAATATCGAGAGACGTTTTTTATTGGGAATTCCATCGTATGCAAGAAAGGTTTCTTGATACAGATGGTCCTCACCCCCAGCCTCAGGGGAAAATGCCCGGAAAACGAGAAGAAGAAACTCAAGTTCGATAATTTGAAGAAAATTCAACAGATCCACAACGTCACCCCCTCCACGAGTCTCAAGGCCCCGAGGGGAGGGGGGAGGGCCCAGAAGCCGGTGAAGATGTTCTTGAGTGAGTCTGAGATGTCCAAGTATTTTCAGAATTCTTCGGGAGCTTCGCAGAAGAAGAATATCAATATCTTCAGTCCTTATGACAGGAGGAAGGGGAATTTCGATGGTTCGGGGAGTGGGACTTTTTCGGGACTCAGCGGAGGGGAGGGGGACAGGGGGAGGGGGAAGAGGTCGAAGGTGAAGATTGTTGGCGTGAGCTCAGGGACTTCCTCAATATGCCCCTGATTTTTTTATTCTCCAATTATTTGCTGAATTATTCCAGTGATGAGGGGTACTGGAGGAAAATATCGAGAGACGTTTTTTATTGGGAATTCCATCGTATGCAAGAAAGGTTTCTTGATACAGATGGTCCTCACCCCCAGCCTCAGGGGAAAATGCCCGGAAAACGAGAAGAAGAAACTCAAGTTCGATAATTTGAAGAAAATTCAACAGATCCACAACGTCACCCCCTCCACGAGTCTCAAGGCCCCGAGGGGAGGGGGGAGGGCCCAGAAGCCGGTGAAGATGTTCTTGAGTGAGTCTGAGATGTCGAAGTATTTTCAGAATTCTTCGGGAGCTTCGCAGCAGAAGAATATCAATATCTTCAGTCCTTATGACAGGAGGAAGGGGAATTTCGATGGTTCGGGGGGTGGGACTTTTTCGGGACTCAGCGGAGGGGAGGGGGGCGGGGGGAGTGGGAAGAGGTCGAAGGTGAAGATTGTTGGCGTGAGCTCAGGGACTTCCTCAATATGCCCCTGATTTTTTTATTCTCCAATTATTTGCTGAATTATTCCAGTGATGAGGGGTACTGGAGGAAAATATCGAGAGACGTTTTTTATTGGGAATTCCATCGTATGCAAGAAAGGTTTCTTGATACAGATGGTCCTCACCCCCAGCCTCAGGGGAAAATGCCCGGAAAACGAGAAGAAGAAACTCAAGTTCGATAATTTGAAGAAAATTCAACAGATCCACAACGTCACCCCCTCCACGAGTCTCAAGGCCCCGAGGGGAGGGGGGAGGGCCCAGAAGCCGGTGAAGATGTTCTTGAGTGAGTCTGAGATGTCCAAGTATTTTCAGAATTCTTCGGGAGCTTCGCAGAAGAAGAATATCAATATCTTCAGTCCTTATGACAGGAGGAAGGGGAATTTCGATGGTTCGGGGAGTGGCACTTTTTCGGGACTCAGCGGAGGGGAGGGGGACAGGGGGAGGGGGAAGAGGTCGAAGGTGAAGATTGTTGGCGTGAGCTCAGGGACTTCCTCAATATGCCCCTGATTTTTTTATTCTCCAATTATTTGCTGAATTATTCCAGCGATGAGGGGTTCTGTAGGAAAATATCAAGAGAGGTTTTTTTATTGGGAATTCAACAGAAAAAACAACTGGTCATTTTCCATCGCAACATTTTTATTTGTTAATTATTCATCAGACAATAATACAATCGATGTAACGGATTTTTACGCAATCAAGCAAGCAAAAGTGACAGTATGAATCAATCATTTAATCATGGGATCATAAAAATTCTTAAGCTAGGGAATCATTGACTCTCAGGGATAGACAGTACGACAATTGTTAATGTTTCTAGTTTCTGTGGCTTCTCAGACGAGCATTGCATTCGGAAATAACCGACAACAATACGTTACGATCAGTGTTTTTCTTGATTCCAATTTCCTTCAGGTCTTTCTCGTCGAGAGTCAGAAACATCTCCACGTCGACCTGCAATATCGAATTATATTAATCAATAAATTTGATATCAATTATCCGATAATTCTTGTTGAAACCCAATGATAATTGAACGATATTTTTAGTTGTTAGATTGAGGATTTAATTGTACTTGATTATTAGTTTATTAGTAATTAATCATTAACGGAGATTAATAAATTGAATTAATCGAGAGCTCTGGTGATTGTTTTTTTACTTCTGGTCTAATTGAATATGCGAGTATTTACTTGACACGTAAATTATTCAGAGAATAAAAATCATGAGACATTTCTTCTGAAGTGATATTTCTTCTGTTCTCCACATTAATTCGAAATAAAGATATTGTTTTGACCTCCTGCTCGATGAAGATGATGGCAAAGTGACTGAGGCCGAAGCGTTTCAGCAGCTGAACCATCCTCATCTCGTTGGCCTTCAAGAAAGATCCCTTCGGAGGGGACTCGAGGCACAATGGCTCGGGTGTCTCCTCTCTACCGAAGAGAGAATCATCCGAAGAGTTGGCAGGAAATGGGGAACGCACGGGGCTGTACTGTGCCAAGTCCTCGATTTCCTGGGAATTCTGCTCATTGGTTGCCTCTTCGATTACTAGGTCTGGTGGTCGAAACATCTTGTACCTTGAGAACGTACCAGATCAATTGATGAAGGAATGGAAAAACTGGGAAGAATGGGAAATTAATTTTTGATAATTGAACGTATGAAAAAATTCAGTACAAAAACTTACCGAATTCCCTAGAAAATTCTACCGGGAATCTATTAAAATTCTAGAGAGTTCTCGGTAAAATTGTAGTCAACAGATTTCAAATGTTCTAGGGAATATTCTCTTGGAATTTTTTCCATAAGAATATTTGAGCATGAATTTTGCACGTTTTTCACTCGGGTTTTATAATGCGGAACAAAACAAAATGTAACGGAAAAGACTTGGAAAATCCGTGCCCAATAATTTTAATAGGAAAATCTCAAGAGAAAAATTCGAACAGAAAAATCGAAATTGAGCTTTTCCTATGAAATACCTAACGCAAAAAAATTAATAGAATTTTAACGGGAATTTTATAGAATTTTAATGGAATTCTTATAAATGAAATTTCCTGTACACTTTTTGAAAATTTTTATCGAATTTAATTACCACTGAAATTTCAAGGAATTTCGTCATGGAAAATTCAGAAATTCGTGGAAAAATCAAAGAGAACTGTCAATTTCAGTTCAATTTTTCCCTGAAAATGAATAGAAAATCAGAAAATTCTGGTAAATATATTCTTGAATTGTCAGTACAATGACACTAAATGCGATTTAGGGGGGGAAAAAATCATGAAATTGCATTATTTTCCAACAGTGTAGTCTCCCCTTAAACAATATTGATAGAAGACAGAAAAATCCTCAAACAAGTCGTACTTCCACCAAATAATTCACCCACTGATTATCAATTCCCAAACATTTTGCGATGAAAAATTTTCTCAAAGCAATTTCTTCCGCGAAAATCACAAAAAAATCAGCAAAAAACCCAATCTAAATTCTCCAACTTCACGGAGAGAAATATTCAATAAAAAATTCGTATCTTTTCCGTAATTCCGGAGCGAAATGTGGTTGTAGGAAATTTTACGGAACTGTCACCGAATTTTTCCGAAGCATTCCGTAATTTGAGTCTCCTGTGAAAAATTTCGATACCATCACTCAAATTTTCTGAGGCGATTCCGTAATGGGTGAGTGAATTGTGAGTTTCGTAATTTTTACTGAACATTTCTCTCCGTGTTCTTACTTTGAATTGGAAACCATCGATTGGTGAGGAGTGGATGTGTCCGGACGATCGTCCTCACTCGTGTTCAGGATGGAAGAGTCGTTGACGCAAGAGTTTGAGCCATATCCATTCGAGGATATTGATGAATCCCCACCATCGAATGAGTCAGTTTTTCCGCTGGTGGACTCATTCTTACGCTTGTTTACATCGCTGTCATCAGCAATCTGCACTTTGTTCAAGCCCTCGGTGATCGCCGCATCAACGCTGTCATCTAAATTCATCTTGTGGAAGGTCTTTATGAGATTCTCGGCAGCGTCCATCGTCACACTGGGAGAGTACCTCTTCCACTTGGTGGGCGGAAGTGGAAGAGCCTTTATTCTATCCGGTGGGGTATTCTCGTTCCAATATCTCTGATCGTTCATTGCAAAATCCGGTGGAGAAACATCAGCCATTTTTCCTTTTTTAATTGTCAATTGCGTCGGTCTGATGATTTGAGAATTCGAACAAAATTAATCTGAGGGAAAACACGTAAATACTTTTTTCCAAGAGCTACAAACGCAACTCAAGAAATTTTTAAAAAATTAAAAAAACAGACCGATGAAAACAAAAAATGGAAAAACTGTTGCGTGAAAGAATCTAATTAAAAAACTCAGGGAAAAATAAATATAAATGAATCAATTTAAATTCAACATTCACATTTATTATGCACAAATGATTAATGATTAATGATTAATGTTATTTGCGGTAATTAGTGATGTTTGGAAAATGTTGACTTACTTATTCAAATCTTCTTCACCCGTAAAAATATAAAATTCTGATCCAGCAGTTTCTTCACAGGAAAATCGCCTTGAACATTCGTAAACTGAGTTCTGTTTCGCTTTCCATCGTGTCTCGATTCACAATGAACTCAAAGAGCGTAAGACCCTCAGACCCTCTTCCCTCTTCGCCCTGAATCATTCGATAAACCATTGACACGCTGTTTACGATGTGAATTTCTTAGAACCAGAGAATCGAAGATGTTCCAATATTTACATTGAAAATTGCCAGCCTTGAGATATGGGAATCGAACAATGAATTGTCCTTTCGAAAATAAAATTTGCGCGATGAAAAGTGGAAGAAACCAGAGGTTTTATGAAGAAAAATCGATATGGCTGATAAAAAGGGAGGAACTTGCGATTTTCATGAATATTTTGCCGAAAATCTTCAATTGGTTTTTATTTTTCAGAAAAATTTTGTTTTCTCATCAATCGATTGATTAGAGTTTTTTCTTAATTTTCAAAGGCTTCCACGTATGAAAAATTTCATAGAAAAACCGAGTGAATTCTCTAGAAAATTCTATTGAATGGCCGATTCAATTAAAAAATTCCGCAGCTTTTCTGCGTTTTCTTTTCAATAGAAATGTTCAATGGAAAATATTCCATAAAAAATATATAGACTTCCATTTTTCTATACAACTTATTCTATTGAGATATTTTCTATAAAAATTCCTCGGCTCAAATTTTCCTAGTGTTTCTGTTCATTTTTTTTTATTTTTCAGAAATTTTTTTTTCAAATTAATTGATTGATTAGGGATTTTTCTTAATTTCAAACCGAGAGAATTCTCTAGAAAATTCTATTGAATGGCCGACTGAATTAAAAAATTCCGCAGCTTATCTGCGCTTTTTTTCAATAAAAATGATCAATGGAAATAATTCTATCGAAAAAAAATAGAATTAAATTTTTCTATACCACTTATTCTACTGAGATGTTTCCTATAGAAATTCCTCGGCTCAATTTTTCCCTTTGATTTTTCAATGAAAAGATAAGAAACCTAGAGTAAAAAAAAATCGGAAAATTCATGTCAAAGAATTTCTATAGAAGATAAAAAAAATTTATAGAGTGAAATTCTACTCATTTCGTCTATAAACTAGTCTCTATTGGGCATTCTGTATAAGAAAAAATGCGCAGTAAAGGTGCACATTTTTAAATAGAATCAGTCAAATAAAATAGAATTTCCAATAGAAATTCAATAGAATTCGCTCAGAAATGTCTGGTTTATTAAGTCTTCAGGATAAAAAAAATTTCTCCTCAACCACCAGAGACCCTCGACGACCATAAAAATCCGTGCTAGATGTCGCTAGACGTGCCAACACAAAAAAATCAGATAAACGATGCACGAAGAGGCCGATTTGTTGACATCTCCATGTGACAGGGTCTCGAATCACTAGTTAAATTAAGTAAATAAATAAATAAAAATGACATCGATAGTGAAGAGTGATAACGAGCTGAAGAGGCTATTGAACAGCCCGGCGAAGAGTGCCAGTGACGATCACACAATGGCTCCACCACTCTCTGTAAGTGCCCCAATATTGCATGTCAGAGGTTATGTTTTTGGAAATATCCTGGGCCTCAAGGGAGATGGAAAAATTTTCGTTGAACATTTTTTTCAGTTCTCGATTTTCTTCACGAAAAAGTCCCCAGGAAATTTTGTCCATCTCCCTTGGATTGGGAGATACACCCTGACGCATTTTAATTGAGTGAAACTCTTTTTTGCTCATTTAAACAACATTTTTGTTGATAATTAATAGACCCACGTATTTATTTAGATATTTCATGTAAACTGAACGTTTGAAGAGATTGTAAGATTTACCAAATGATAGATTGATACGTAAACAATTTATATATATTTTTGTAATCTTTTTTTTTAGCAGAATAAACAAATTGATTTGAATGCGTTAATAAAAAATATATATCCATTTTTTTATTTAGATGAAAGTCTTTAAATTATATTATAACTAATTCATTAATCCCAAACTATTAATTTGATTGTTTTTTCTTCAATCATTGATACGTCGATGATGATTTACAGACAAATGTGCCCAGACCGAGTACCTCCCAGGGAGGTAATCCACAGGCTGGGATGAACCCCATGGCACCACCACCTCCAAAGAACGAGAATATTGAACCGGTCCTACAGTATGCCATCCATTTCTCCTTGTTTTCTCTCATTTTTTCAGTCGACTTAAGGATATCCAAGTATTTTGGCTTATTTTTCTCCAGTGAAAATACTTTCTTAATACTTTTCCTTTCTTAATACTTCTGTAGTCGAACATCAGAGCCTTCATTTGAGCCCCATTTGACCCCAACTTTCCATACATTTTACAATGATTTTATTATTCACACTTCGCAGGCCTGAATTTGAATCTCGATATTAAACCTTTAGAAAACGTTTTATGAATCTGAAAAAAAAAATCGAGAGTTTACTTTTTGAAGATTGATGATTGAGATAATTAAAAAATGGAATTCTTTGAAAATTACGAGCATTTTCTATAAATAATTTACTATTCTATTAAAATAGTAAATAATAATAGTAAAATATTAAATAATAGTAAATAAGTTACTATTCTATTTTTATCTTTTTTGATAGGGGACGGTGGGGCAAAATGAAACAGCAAGAAAATCTTGTGATCTAAGGGAGATAGGAGGATTTTCATGAAAACCTTTTTTGTAGAGAATTTTACAAGCTACAAAAAAGGTCCTCTTCAAAAATGTCCTATCTCCTTTAGATGACGAGATTTTCCCACTGTTTCATTTTGTCCCGTGTTTCATTTTGGCCCATGCTCCCCTAATTAAAAAGAAACTATTTTCTTGGCAAAAGTAAGTCTCGTTTGAGAACTCTGTAGTTTTTCTCTGAGTGTGTAGTGTTGACACATCCTCTGATGTTCTCCTCCCTCTCCAGAAACGTAGTGTCAACAGTGAGTCTCGGCTGCCAGCTCCACCTGACGAAGATAAACACCCGAACGAGAAATTCCGAGTACAATCCAGGCCGTTTCACAGGCCTGGTAATGAGGATAAGAAATCCCCGTGCAACAGCCCTGATATTCCGTTCAGGAAAGATCGTCTGCACAGGTGCCAGGAGTGAGGACGATGCATTCCTAGCGTCCAGAAAATTCGCGAGGATCATTCAGAAGCTCGGCTTTCCAGTTAAATTCATGAATTTCAAGGTCCAGAATATGGTGGCCACGTGTGACCTCAAATTTCCGATAAAACTCGAGAGTTTAAATCACATGCACGGACAGTTCTCCACGTATGAGCCCGAACTTTATCCAGGGCTGATCTACAGGATGGTCGCACCCAGAGTTGTGCTGCTCATATTTGTCAATGGGAAGGTTGTTTTGACTGGTGAGGATTTTTCAGTAAATGTAATTGAATTGAATAGAAAAATCCAGTGATTTCCCTGAGATATTCTACTGAGATTCACTTCAACATTCCATTGGCCAATTAATAATTTATGCAAAAGTCTGTAAATGTTGAATTTTTTATACGAGTTATTCTGCTCGGATTTTTCCCACAAAAATTCTTCAGCATTTATTCTCCAAGTCTTTTCCTCCTATTTTATTGTGAGAAGTAAATAAAAATACAGTGACAAAAACTTGGAAAATTTACGCTCAAAAATTTATATGGAAAAATAAAAATCCATTATTTTGTTATGTATAATATCTATAAAAAATAACACAATGAAGTTGCATGATTTTCAATAGAATTGAATACGCGAGTTTTTCCTGAATTCGATTTAATTTTGTTCAATTAATTTTCAGGTGCGAAAAATAGGACTGAACTGCGCGATGCTCTGACGAATATACACCCCATTCTAAAGAGCTTTAGAAAACAATAGCGCAATTTATTTTTGTACATTTCATTCACATCATGCATTTATTCGCATAAATGCCTTGTTCATTCATCTTAAATTTAGGAGGTTAAGGACACATTGTAAAATATTATTTATATGAAATAAATAAATTTTTGATAAATAATCTAACAGAATTGTCGTGCCTTTTCATTTTTTTCTCATAATATTTTTGTTTTCATTTTTGACGTCAGCAGTTTTTATTGTCTCCTTCAGATCCTTCATTATCACCACATTAAATTTTATTTGAAATTCGCGAGGCATATGGAAGTTTTACTAGATAATTTTTCCAAATTCAGAGATATAGTACTGTAATGAAAAAAATTCCCTTATACCTCAATTTAATTGTTAATATTACACAACAATTTTTAAATTGTTAAACAAATCATCAATTACATATTCAGTAATTGAATTTAGAAGAATGATGATTATTTGGCTAATCGAAAATTCTTTTTATCAAATTTAGAATTATTTACTCAATACTCAATTGACAATTTAATATTGTCAATTATTTAAATACTATACACTATAGTATATGCAATACAAGAGCAATTTCCCACTTGTTTTTCCAATTTTTTCAATTTTATATTATAAAAATTCAAATCGACTTCTGGTGAGAAAAATTTGGTACTAGAAATTAAGACTCTTAAACAAAGGGTTACAAGGGTCATGAGGGTCTAAATAAGGGTCACGAGGGTCAGATTAAGGTTCACAAGGTTCAGAATATCTCCCAATATTATAAAAATCCAAATGGACTTCGGGTGATCAAAAATTTGGTACTCGAACTTAAAACTTCAAAAACAAGAGTCGAAATAAGGGTCATGAGGGTCATACGGGGTTATACTGGACTCATATGAGGATCACGTGGAGGCTGGCGAGCGGAGCGAGCAGGGAGCGTAGTCCCCTAGTAAAGAATAATAACTAATAATTTATTTCAACAACAGTATCTCATTATTTTTTATTTAACGATTCAGATTAATTTGAAAAATTAATCAAAAATATTTCAACAACTACCAAACGCTTTGAATTACGATTCATCATAACAACATTTGTTTTGTTAGCAAGGAAATTTTTAAATGCATCAGGAACCCCTTTTTAGTTTCGACGAAGTATCGAAGTAGCAAAACTGCCAAGAATTCGATAAAAAACAGAATGTTGAACATGGCAAGAGCGGATTGGCCGCTGGATCGTGAAGAAATACTGCGGAGACTCAACGTCATTCCCGCTTCCCGATTATTCTTGTATAAAGAAGAAACCGGGCTGAGACCCCAGGAATATTAGTCGAGTCTTCAGTAATGATTCAAATGACATCCGAATAATCGTGAATTTGGTTTCTGTGAACAGGTGAAAAAACCCGAAAAATCATCGAGATGAAGATACGCAAGGAAATTGTGGGAGGAATGCTCGTTCTCTTGTGCATTCACGTGGCGGGGGGTGAGACATTCCTTTCAACAGTGGAAAGCTCCATCGCAAGTTGGGCTGAACGCATTTGGAATGTTATTACCACCGGTTCCTACCGAGGCCACGCGTTGTGGCGCAAGTGCTCCAATTACCGGGATTTTTCCAACGTTTTATTCGAGAGAAGTTCAAAAGTCCTGTCAGCGCAGGCAAAGTCAATAACCGCGATTGAAAGTCATGCGAATAAGCGCGTCAATAATCCGAGCTTTAAGACGTATTCTGTCAGCGAGAGGACAGAAGCTTTTCGCAAGGCGAGGGAAGAAGTTGATAGAGAATTTGATCGGTTAGAGTTCGCTAAAAAATCGATAGGACTGTTTGATCCCACACAAATGTGCGCCTGGGCAGACGCACTCGTCGAAAATGAGACTATCACGAAAATAATTCAGCAAATTCATCAGAGTCTCTCGCCGGGTGGAGGAGGCAATCCTTTGATTGATGATCTTCTCAGTCATATGAAGGTAGGCAAGAGCAGGCCATCATGGGTGAAACAATTCAATAGAAAAACTTGGCGGATTCGCTAGAAAATTGGAGTCGAATTCACTAGAAATTCTACAGTTGGAAAAAAATTAGGCACGGATTTTATGTCTTTTCCGCTATTGTTTTGTTTTGCATTACAGGATCCAAGTAAAAAAAATTAGAAAATTCATGCCCAAGTATTCTCAAAGAAAAAATTGCAAGAGAATATTTATGTAGAAAAATCGAAATCTACCGACTTTTTCCTATCAAATATCTCATCTCATCGCAAAATACAAACAGAATTTTAACGAGAATTCCCTAGAATTTTAACAGAATCCCAAAGCAATTTTCTATTGAATTTTTTCATACGTGATGTATAAAAAAAAATTAATAGAAAAACCTAGGAAATTTCCTGTCATTTTTTGGCTATTCCATAGAAGAAAAAAAAGTTTTTTATTTTCAATAGCAATGTTTAACGGACAATATTCTATAGAAAAAATCCACAGAATTCGATTTTTCAATACAACTTATTCTATTGGAATGTTTTCTATAGAAATTCCTCGGCTCAAATTTTTTTCGTTTGATTTTTTAATGAAAAATTACCGAAAGAGTCGTAAAATATCCTCCACAAACGTATTTTTTCTCTGAATTACATTTCCACGATTTGCCACGATTTTCTAGGTAATTTTCATCCATCTTCCCTTTCCCTTTCGCGTGCGAAATTTTTTCACGCAGATGTATTCTTCTTCCACAGAATGCGGCAGGTGAAACATTATGTGGTTGGGGGCATTCAACATACGACTACCTCCACTCAATCTACAATTTAGTCGTAGTAACAGAGATGAGGGGATTTATTCTAGAAGCATACGCGCATCATCTCTTGTATGAATACAATGGCCGAGGGGCTTGTACGTCTTCGTTCATTTCTCTCCCTGGAAAAATAATCAAACACCCCCTCACCTACCGAAATTATTGACATTCGCAGGCAAATACTCGAAGCCAAGTTCGGCAAGCCAAGTTCTGATCTTGCGTGACAGACTTCGAACGCACGTCCGAGACTACAATGAGGTGTTCATTGCGCGAATGGACAGCGCGTCGAAAGAATTTCGAACTTGTGCTGACGAATCTTTCGTAAGGGGTGAGTTTCATCCGTCATAATAACTGCAGCCAAAAAAATAAGGCCTTAATTCAGGATTTTAAAGGTCTTAAAGTGAGATTTTCAGAGGCTTAAGGATATCCAAGTACTTTGGCTATTTTTTCTTCAGTGATATGGCTTCTACCTTTGCAATCGAACATCAGAGCTTTCATTTGAGCCCCTCTATAAACAATAGTTTTTATAAACAATAAGTTTTCTACCTTAAAAATCATTTGTTCGGAATCGTAACAAATTTATTCATATTCGGAATTTTACTAGAAATCGATTTCGTGCCTAAAAAAATTGGGTTTCCGAACATTTAACCCTCCTGTAGTCGCACGTCTTCGCCGAAGGTCGTCGGTCGCGTGGTGAGCGCTGCGCCGTCCGTACATTCTCGATCGCAGCGTTGCCAGGGCCATACGACACTGTAAACATATCACCGGCCAGCGGCCCCCCACTCCGCACACGCTGCTTGGGACTACCACGAGGGTCGGCAACACCGCTCGTCAAATTTCCGCTGCGAGAGTAGTCGCACGGTCAGCGCTGCGCTCATTCTCGCTAACCGCGCTCGACAAAAAAATTAATTGAGAAAAAAATTGTCAGTGCAGGGCAACCCTACCGTGTTTAATCTCATCAGGACATACCATTTGAGAAACTCGTAAATAGGCAGAGCGTAATTCATCACATTTCTAGAGACATCGTGAAAATAAAGACGGCGGCTGTCAGACCATAACGCGACCACTGGGGGGGTTAAACAATTTTCGAGTTTTTCTCACACAATTTAATTGACAAATTTGATGATTGAAAATGGTTGAATCTATAGTGTGGTCTGTACCAAGCTGCAAAAGATACTTGGATATCCCTAAGGTGAGACTTGAATGCCTCAGTTAAGACTTTTGGAACTCGACTTGAAAGTTTTCTTTCTGTCAAGTTCTGAATGTCTCAACCTGAGGCGTTTGATACTGGTTTTTGGGTCTTATAATCCCTCCTGACACACATGCAAATGCACTGATACTGGCCTTCTCAGATGAAACGTACTTCGAGTTGGAGGGTCTAGTGCAAGGTTTCCTGCAGCCTCTAGACACTCCAAGAAACGGACAACCACCATCTACGGCTTGCAGTAGCTTGAACCAGGGTGGATCAAGCGAACGGCATCAGTACTGTTTTTCGCAGCAGAATCAATGTCCCCCGAAAATTGAAAAACCTTGCTTGGGGTACCTTACTGATTGCAAACCAACGTCGGAATTCGTGACAGCATGTATAGCGGTGAGCCAATGAGAACTGTACCCTTGCCATCTTATGCTATTGATTCTAATCAATTTAGTTTGAAGAAAACGTTGTCAAAGGCAATATTAAGAAGGCTGGATCATTCTATTGCCCTCCGGCCCAAATGATTTCAACAATTATAAGATGTTCATTCATGTCTCGGTGGGGAAGATATGATCCTCATATGATCCCCACGCCCATCAAAAAATTTATAAAAAAAAATACATAATATGGGCCAATTCCATGTTTTTCAAATTTATAAAGAATACGTAAAATATATGTATAAAACATATGTTTCATATATTTTTTTATATAATTGGGCCAATTTAAGATATTTTTTTATACATTTTTCAAAATATAAATTTTTCCGTGTGGGCATACGACCAAAAAACTTACGAACGTCGTAACCCCGTCGTGACGGTAGTCATGTACATACGTTATTGTCGGCACGTACCTGAAATAAATGTCATTATCTGAATTTAATCATTACTTCTTCTCCCATCAAGGAAAATGGTCCACGACGGTATAAATGGATTGAGCAGACTGACGCTCTGCAACAATCATCCGGCGTTTGTGAATCTCACAAATATCACGTGGAGTAAGAATGCCCAATTTAATATATTTTGATACAAGTGCGAAAAAGTGTTTTGCATCGCACTGTCCGCAATACGTCATTTACGATCATCGTGAAGAAAAATTATGTTCGTCACTCGGCCGAAATAGAATATTGTGACAACTTCCTGAAAAGTGCCCTTTTCGAAACGATTAGGGCGCTCGGCGCAGGCGAGTGCTGCCCTTCCAAGGGCCAAACTCAGTTGTCCCACACGGAGAGAAATGTTCAGTAAAAATTACGAAACTCCCAATTCACTCACCGATTACGGAATCGACTCAGAAAATTTAAGTGACGGAATCGTAATTTTTCACAGGCGATTCGGATCAAAATAACGGAACGCTCCGGAAAAATTCCGTGACAATTCCGTAAAATTTCCTACAACCACATTTGGCTCTGGAATTACGGAAAAGATGCGTAATTTTTATTGAATATTTCTCTCCATGCACGAGTGTCGAACCCTATTTTTCATCACAATATGTGCAAAACCGAATTTTGTGCCCAAGTGATAAAAAAATCTAGTTATCAATAATAAAATGGAAATTATCATTTTTCGTTTCGTTGTAGACACCCCTGCTTTTGCAAATGCGTAGACAATAGTGTCGACTCCTTCTCAACGCATCTCATCAACTTGCAACCGGTCGAGGCCGATGTAGCGGACAACATGTACGCCAACTTGCTTTCAAGAGCCATTATTACTTCCTGCGAAAATTTGGCATCACGGTTTGACATGAACCTTGTAACATTGCAGGGTAGTGACTGGCGTCAGATTTATAGTGCAAAATCGAGTGATGCAGTTTCAAATTCAGCAAGGAAAATTCGGAAAGGATTGGAGAATTGAAGGAGAACCCGAGTGGAAGCCCATTGCGGACATAAGTGAGAAGATCCGCGCAAACAGATTGCGGAGAAAATTACAGGGAGAGTATCCGGACATTGAAGAAGGGCGGGATTACTTCGTTGTCAATGAGAAAACGACATTCAATTTTGATCAATTGACCGTTCGCTTCGGTCATATTCTCACTGGTAATTATCGCTGTGGAAGAATGGATTGCATTGCATTCGTCAAATCCGAAATTTCAATTTTTTTTGTGTAAGGACAACTAATCAAATCAACTATCAAATTAAGGGTTCAAATAAGGATCACAAGGGTCAAAATAAGGGTCATGAAGCTCAGAGTAAGGGTCATGAGAGGCAGAAGAGTCACGACGGTCAGATTAAGGGTCATAGGAGTAAGATTAAGGGTCGCAAGGGTCACATTAAGGATCACAAAGATCAAATTAAGGGTCACAAGCCTCATGAAGCTCAGTGTAAGGGTCATGGGAGACAGAATAAGTCACGACGGTCTGATTGAGGGCCATAACAGTAAGATTAAGGGTCATAGGGGTCGCAAGGGTCAGATTAAGGATTATAAAGATCAAATTAAGGATCCAAATAAGGGTCACAAGGGTCATGGGAGACAGAATAAGTCACGACGGTCAGATTAAGGGCCATAAGAGTACGATTAAGGGTCATAAGGGTCGCAAGGGTTAGATTAAGGATCATAAAGATCACATTAAGGGTCCAGGAGGGTTACAAGGGTCAAAATAAGGGTCATGAAGCTCAGCGTAAGGGTCATGAGAGGCAGAATAAGTCACGACGGTCAGATTAAGGGCCATAAGAGTACGATTAAGGGTCATAAGGGTCGCAAGGGTTAGATTAAGGATCATAAAGATCACATTAAGGGTCCAAAAGGGTCACAAGGGTCAAAATAAGGGTCTCAATGTATCTCTCTATATTATAAAAATCCAAATCGAGTTCTGGTGGAATCGAATTTGGGTCACAAGGGTCAGGTGGGGGTGTAGCCCTCTAGTAATTTTGTAATTAATCCGCAAAAATAGCTGTGCTACACGACGACAAAAGTAATTTACCACTTGTTTCTTTTTCAGGAGTGAAGTTCGATATGGTCTCTGACAAAAAGTCAATACAAATTGCTATATTGTCAAGACCATTTAATGCCACATCTGGAAATTTGACTGACGTCAACGGGGCATTCTATATCGAAAAACCCCTTTTCAAAAGGTAACTGACTATTTGGTAAAGCCTCACTATTGGGGTCGAGAGTTTCCGCTGATGGAGTCGACTCTATTTTCAGGGAGAAGTGGTCCTATCCGACTGACGTTGACAGGGTAAGAATTGCACCTGGGCTGGATGAAGCGGTGACCATTAATACGACAAGAAAGGATGATTGGGGACAAGCGACATTACCATATTTCGATGCAAAACCTCTTGTTTCTGATCCACCTACTGCACTCGGAGGGTTCGGAATATTTCATCAGCATGATGGTAACTCCCCCGGTGTCGTCTCACTGAAATTCATTTCAATGGACTATAGCTACTATATGGAGGAGAATCAGTATGAAATACAAATTAATGCGAAAAAATCAGCTGAAGATATATCGAAAAATAAAAAAGGAGTTTTTAGCGCCAAAATTTATCGCTGCGAAAGCGAGTGAGTGCATCACTCGTGTTTATATCAATTAAATATGTTATATCAAATGAATATGTAATATCAGATTAATGTGTAATGTTTCAAATAAATATGATGACGTTTATTGATGAATTGAAAAATATGTATTGTTAATTATTCCTGGACAAACATAACGAAGAGATCTTTTTTATGACAGGAATCGAGAACAAGTGACTCAAAATTATGGAATAGAATTTTTGATTTTGAAAAATTTGATTGAGCAACTAAATTATCTGCAATGTCATCGCATCATTTGTAATTTAAAAATACTTCGCAGGTGATAGAAAACACTCGCGACGTCAATTTTAATCTGCAATTTTAAGATAAAAATTTTTAAACAAAAAGATGTTTTCAGGAAAGATTTTTATCCAAATTCTGTCAATAAAAAATATCGATAAAAAGCGCGAGTTCTACATGGCAAGAGCTCAGTGGGCATTCGACCGTAAAAAATATTACGAGCACTCAGTGTAAAAAAACCCACTCATAGCAAAGGAATATTAGCCGTCAGTAAAAGTGATTCAAATAACATCGAAATACTTCTGTATTTTGCTGTCTCTCACTAGTGAAAACCTTAAAGTCCATGTTAATTGGGCAATAGGCACTTGGAACATCATCAAAACAAAAAATTCAATACAATTCCAAATTTTTGAGCATTAACACGGGAATTCCTCAACGCATTTGGATTTTCAACGAAAACATGAACATTCAGTGCTAAATTACACTGAATTTCCAATTAATTGAAAATTTAAGAATCTATTTACCGTAATTTTACGGATTTCTATCAATTGTCAGGGAATTATTTACCTGATATTTACAATTGTCACTGATTTTTCCACGAAATTCTGAATTTTCAACGACGAATTTCCTTGAAATTTCCGTCGAACTAAAATAAGACAAAAATTTCCAAAAAATAAATCGGAAAATTGTTTTCAACAAAAATTTTTAGCCCAATTCTTTCAGTGAAAAATATCGATAAAAGCTAAGAGTTCCACACGGCGAAAGCCCAATGGACATTCGATCATAAAAAATATTACGAGTACTCGCCACATCCATTTCCTGATCATTCCTGTATAAAAAACCCACTCGTAGCGAAGGAATATTAGCCTCCAGTAAAATTGATTCCAATAACATCGAAATATTTCACCAGCGAAGTGGTAAAACGCTTCAAGTCAATTTCGACTATTGCCCAGTTTTCAATGAATATCTCGGAATCTAAGGGAGGTAGCAAAATTTTTGATAAAACCTTTTCTGTGGCACTCAATTCGCTCTACAAAAAAGGTCATTGCAAAAATTTCGCTATCTCCCTTAGATTCGGAAATATTCCTCAAAAACTCAACTGGGGGACAAGTCGACTTGAACCGTTTTACCGCTTCGCTGCTGATTTGTGTATTTCGCTCTCCTTCACTAGTGAAAACCTTAAAGTCATCGAAATGAGGGTTCGCAAGGAAGTTCTGGTGACAATACTCTTCCTCTTACCCATTCATACGACAGTCGGCAAATTGAAGCCCACAACATTGGGAGTGTCCATCCTAAATTGGGCGATAGGCATTCGGAACATCCTCAAGACAGGTTCTGCGGATAAATACGGCTTGTGGGACGACGGCTTCAATGCGCTGAAATCTCTAAACGTTTTGTTCGACAAGAGTATTAAATCATTACTCAACGAGTTGGAGGAAATAGAAAAGGCCGAAGACCATCTGCAAGTGCGTTTTAAAAAGGGGAATGTTGAGCTCAGTCAGTGGATCCTGAGAAACCAATCGATCACCCAGAAAGTCCTGAAGTTGGGGAGCCATTTAGAGGCTATTGACAGGATCGCCGATGAACTCCAGAATCTGAAAATATTCGACTTTGTCATCCCCCAACAACTGTGCAAATGGGCGAATGTAATTGTTGAAAAAGAACGAATGACGAAGGAAATTGATCGGATTTACAGTGAGTCCTCTTCGGGACGAGATTCCCTCTCGCTGCGGAACTTGGTCCGGTCATTGTTGAAGGTACATCAAAAAAATTTTCTCACATTACCTCCAGACATCGCCGTAATCTAATTCAGTAGCGAAGTGGTAAAACGGTATAAGTCAATTTTGACTATTGATCAGTTTTCAATGAATATCTCGGAATCTAACGGAGATGGCAAACTTTTTGTTATAACCTTTTTTGTAGAGCCGACTGAGAGCTACAACAAATGTAATTACGAAAATTTCGCTATCTCCCTTAGATTCCAAAATATTCCTCAAAAACTCAACGGGGAGATAAGTCGACTTGAACCGCTTTACCACTTCGCTACTGAATTTTGAATTGAAGTTAAATTTTGAATAAGTCAATTGTTAATGTGACTCATTTTCGTTTTTTTGATTATAAAAATAACCATCAATTTAAGTATTCAAATTCCGAATTATTCTATCAACCAATGATTGAGAAATTAAATTACCTAACTATTATGTTAAGATTTCAAAAACTCAACGGGGAGATAAGTCGACTTAAACTGCTTTACCACTTCGCTACTGAATTTTTAATTGAAGTTAAACTTTGAATAAGTCAATTGTTAATATGAGTCACTTTGGTTTTTTTGATTATAAAAATAACCATCAATTTAAATATTCAAATTCCGAATTATTCTATCAACCAATGATTGAGAAATTAAATTACCTAACTATTATGTTAAGATTTCAAAATAAAGTTTTCCAACAACAAATACATTATAAATCTATCACTACGACATGATAAATCATTCTCCTCAACTAATGAACCTCTGATAATGTCAAATAATTTCAAATAGAATGCCGTAAACGACAATTCTCGATGTGGTCAAGGATATTCACCGTACGACTATCTCCACACAATATACGATTTAGTGATGGTAGCAGAGATGAGGGGATATGTCGTAGAAGCATTCGCTCATTATCTTCTATCTACGTACAATGGCACCACTGTAACCTGTATGTTTTCATTTGTCTGGTGCAAAAAAACTTATCAGATATTGCAAATAACAGGTGACAAAAGTATTGATTGATTATTTACAGGCGAATACTTAAGGGGAAATTGGGAAACGGAGCTTGAGACATTATACAAGAGACTTCGCGCACATGTCGGAGTCTATAATGAGCTGTTCATCAGCGGACTGGAGCATTTATCGAGAGAATTTCGGGCATGTGATGATGATTCGAAATCTTTCCAGCGAGGTGAATTTCGTTGTAATGATTTTAACGATTATCACGTTTTTCAGGCATTGAGAAGGTGGTCCATGTTTTCTTCCACGATATTAGCAAATTTCTTTCAAGCAGCATTTCAGCTTTGTCGAAAATCTTGACATCCCCATACTTTTTAGGAGTTTTTATTGTTGAATACTTTTTTTCGGGAATTTCTTCAGTGAATATTATGAGCAATATTTCATTCAATTTCACTTATTCTATTGAGATATTTTTTCAGGATATTGGCAGTGGTTTTAGGACGAACAAACGACAAACTAACGATTCCTTAGGAGGAAAAAATAAAACTAATTAATTTTTTAAGTAAAAGCGGCCCCTCATACATAAAAAAAAGACTGTTTTTTTCGTTTCTCCTAAGGAATCGTTTGTTCGTCGTTTGTTCGTCCTGAAAACACTGCCATCATCTTGAATAATTGCACTCTTTGACTATTTTCTTTCAATTAATTATCAATCACTTGAAAAAAAAATTCTTGCGATTATTCTTGCAATTATTTCCTCGGCTCAAATTTTCCAAGTTTTTTTAAAATGTTTTCGATGAAAAAAATTAAGAATAGAATGAAAAAACTTCAAACTAGTCAATTGAAAAACTGTTCATTCACACGTTTAGTTAGAAAAACCTGAAAAATGAGATAATTCTTATGTTCATGATCTCCATAATGAATTTCAATGATTTAGACATGAAAATAATAATTTTTAGAATTTCTTTTTTCTGAAAATACTCAGTAACTCGAGCCGTAGGGGTCGAGCTACTTTGACTCCAAATCTGAAATCCGACGCCAAATTGGACGAATTTCATCTCATAAATTCAGACAACTCATAAATTCAGTCAAATTCCGACATGAGTTGTTCCAATGCTCTACCATTTCTTTTCAGATGAAACTTATCTCGAATTGGAGGGCGCTATGCAACGGTATCTCCACGCGTATGACCCTGCCTCGTCGGCGCTTTCCAGTGGGCACTTGGACTGCAGTTTATTGGACAGAAGATACCGCTCCAAAAGTTGCGGGGTGATTTCGAATTCCTGCAGCGCCCCTCTCAAATATCCTTGCATGGGCTACATGACCGATTGTGAGGCAGTGTCGAGTGCCGACGTTCTAGCTTGCATCGCGGTGAGTCAGTGAAGATAATCGACAAATCAGACGTCGGCATTACCATAAATTTTAATTAAACTTGAATTTTGAAGACTGACGATGGTTACTCTCATTTAGAAATATTTACGTATTTACAGAGACAAATAAATATGAATATTTATTTAAACAAGATAAATATTTATTTATCTATTCATTAATATTTATCCATTTATTAATATTTATTTATTTATTTACGGAATTAATATTCATTCATTTCTTTAAACGATAAATATTTGTTTAAATGAATAAATAAACAAATAAAAAATGAATTACTTATTATAAATGAATGAGTATTTATTTGCAGTCTCTCTCGTTCTCCCCAGAAAAAAAGCCTCAACTTTTTTGATATTCACAATGTAACTATTTTATCCTTTCAAGAGTGTTCGTCCGCGACGTTACGAATGGATCAACAAGACGAACGGCGAGCCAGTAAGAGGTTGCAAAACGCAGACCTTCCAGAAAGGGTAAAAAGCGATGATTCACAGATAAATGGGACAAACGATTGTATAGAAATGATTTCTCCTTCTGTTTCATTACAGTACGACGTGTCTGTGTACCTGCATTGACAACGATGTTAACTCAATGTCAACGCATCTCTTCAACTTGCAACCGGTTGAGGCCGACGTAGCTAATGACATGTATGCTAATTGACTATTATGATTCATTATTATTTCTGGTGAATTTAGTATTCCAATATGTGCACATTATTAGAAAATTACTCTTGAAATTTCATGTGAAGAAGCTTGAAAGTTTTAACAACGACAAAATTACATGAAATTTCTGTATATTTCGGCATTGACGATCCAGTTAATTCAGTGAATTCAGGCAACAACTTTTCTGAGTTCTCAATCTATTGAAAATTGAATTGCATGTAATGTTCAATTTTCACAATGAGTTTGGAATTTCAAGCTTTCACTGAAAAATCAACGTTTCGTAATCATAAAAAATCTAATTTTCTTGAATTTTCAAGATCAATGAGACAGTTTGTAAACGCTTTCATTTGCAATTAAATTCAAACCCACAACATCGAAAATTCATGCCGCTCTGACTGAAATTTCAAAAAATTTCTAACGGTGTAATACCTATTCCAAATATCATGATATGACGCAGGAGAGGCTTTCAACTGAGGGAATTTTCCAGTTTTGCGAATGAAAGTTCTGCATTCGTGATATGAAAATTATAATATTGCAGGGTAGTAACCGGGATTAGATTTATAGTGCACAACGGAGTTCTGCAATTTCAAATACAGCAGGGGAAATTGGGGAATTATTGGGCAATCGAAGGATCACCTGCGTGGAAACCTATTAATGACATAAGTGAGAAGATACGCGCGAAAAGATTGGGCAGAAAATTGCGAGGAGAGCTTCCGGGAGTCGAGGAAGGCAGGGACTACCTGATCGTCAAAGAGGGAACGGGATTGCAGTTGGACGCACTGCTCGTTCCCAAAGGACACGTTCTCACCGGTGATTATTCCTTTCCACGGAGAGAAATAATCAGTAAAAATTGCGGAACTCACAATTCGCTCACCGATTACGGAATCGACTCTGAAAATTTAGAAAATTTAACTGACGGTATCGTAATTTTTCACAGGAGATTCGGATGAAAATGACGGAACGCTCTGGAAAAATTCCGTGACAGTTCCGTAAAATTTCCTACAACCACATTTCGCTCCGGAATTACGGAGCAGATACGCAATTTTTACTGAATATTTCTCTCCGTGTTCCCGACGATTTTATCGTCACTCATTGTGACTCGTTTTCTCTATCGCATCCTCAGGAGTTAAATTCGATTTGGTCCCGAAGACGGCGCAGAATTCCCCGCAGAGAGTGCAGATTGCTGTGTTATCAAGGCCATTCAACGTTACAAGTGGAATGTTGAGTAATATTGGGAATGAACCCAATGTCGTCAGATCCGACATCGTGGACAGGTGAATTAAAAAATATCATAGAAGAAAAACCATTTCAAACAGATTTTTACGGGAATCCCGGTGAAAATTGCACTTCACTGATTCTTTTGAAGAAGTTTATTCAACGAAGATTGTATTCGTCCAATCTGAAATTCCCAATTTTTCGCCGCAGGATAATTCATTTTGGCGTCAGGAATTCGAATATGCTATTTCTTTATTTTTTCGTTAATTTTTGGGGAAATGTCAATAAATTGACATTGAATGAACCCAATGTCGTTAGATCCAACATCGTGGAGAGGTGAATTAAAAAATATCATAGAAGAAAAACCATTTCAAATAGATTTTTACGGAAGTCCCGGTGAAAATTTCACTTCACTGATTCTTTTGAAGAAGTTTATTCAACGAAGATTGTATTCGTCCAATCTGAAATTCCCAATTTTTCGCCGCAGGATAATTCGTTTTGGCCTCAAGAATTCGAATATGCAATTTCTTTATTTTTTTGTTAATGACAAATTGATTTTGAAATCATTATTTTTGGGGCAATGTCAATAAATTGACATTGAATGAACCCAATGTCATCAGATCCAACATCGTGGAGAGGTGAATTAAAAAATATCATAGAAGAAAAACCATTTCAAATAGATTTTTACGGAAGTCCCGGTGAAAATTTCACTTCACTGATTCTTTTGAAGAAGTTTATTCAACGAAGATTGTATTAGTCCAATCTGAAATTCCCAATTTTTCGCCACAGGATAATTCATTTTGACATCAGGAATTCGAATATGCTATTTTTTTATTTTTTTGTTAATGACAAATTGATTTTGAAATCATTATTTTTGGGGCGATGTCAATAAATTGAAATAAATTAATCACTGAATTCAATTTAAAATCCATCGTTATAGAAATTCCATTCTGAAGCCAAAATGTATTGACTAATGTTGTCAAGCGTTCTAAATGATGAATCGTGTATTCACTTCCAGGAAGAAATTCGTGTACCCCAAGAAGAACGTACTCAGCCCACTTCCAGCGAATTATTTCTCAGGATTGAATCAGTGGGTCTCGATTACAACTTCAAACGTGAAAATTGATTGGGGACAAACAACATTACCGTATTTCGACGCAAAACCTGTTATATCTGATCCGCCAAGTGCACTCGGAGGATTGGGAATATTCCACAAATATGGCGGTAACTTCACCGGATTCGTCGCTTTGAAATGCATTTCAATTGACTACGGCCACTTTATGAATGAAAACAACGTATTTCCTCTAGAAGCAAAAATCGATGAGAAACTTGCGGAGGAAATCAGAATTTTGGAAGGATAATTGCTGTAATTTGATGCTCGTTAATGTTGAAATAATTTGCGGAAATGCGGAAATAATTTTAATTATCGTTATAAACACAATCTCTTGTTCGAAATCCGTGAGACATGTGGAAACATAAATAGGACACGTGTAGAAACTCAGATATGCTAATGTAACAGAAGAAAAATAAAATCTCTCAAAATATTTGCTTGTAATAATTGGCGACACTGTGGCCCCAGTAGTAGCTCATTATTTCTAGGGGTAGACATACACGAGAATTAACAGGGAACCTTGATAGTGCCCCCAGAAAATGCTGTCAATTCCTTCATCAAATAAAAAAATTAATAAGCAATTTTTGAATAATGATTTAAAACTAATTGATACTAATAACTTTAGTTTTGATGATGAGAAAATTCCCAAATATGGAACAGATCAATTCTTTCTTAGTTTCAATGAAGTATGAACGAAGCTTCCCACCAAAATAATAAAAACATCGATAAAAACGAAATGCTGAACATGGCAATAGCTCATTGGTCATTGGATCGTGAAAAAATATTACGAAGACTGGACGTCACACTCACTTCCTGATCATCCTATTCTAATAAGGACATACGCCGTAAGCTGTAGCTTAACGCTCATTCCTCGAATTTCATTGGTCGAACATTCGGATCCGCCCGCACGTGTTCGACTTCGGTTGGCTTTCGGTTTTCGTGTCACGATTTGTCTTTTACACGCGCGCTCAAGCGCGCGATCGTTCTCGTTCTTGTAAAAAAGAGTGACACTCATAGCATCGGAATATTAGTCCAGTGCCTTCAGTTAAAGCGATCCAAATGGCACCAGAATAATTGTGCATTTAGCTTTGGTTCACTAGATTGAAGAAAAACCACCATAACTGAGCTTTCGATTTTCAAAATATATTATGTATCATCATTATATCTATGAAACGTAAGTCAACTCTCCAATGCCGGAGAAAATTGAACACTTCCACATGAAAAAACAGACGATTCATGTGTCGTGAAGAAATCGCATTTGTTGTACACTTTTCATCATGTTCCAAAGGATCTTGTCGACATGAATATGAAAAAATACATACTCAATATCGCAATATGGGACTAAAATATAGAGAAAAAACATGACATAAATTTCTCTTTGATACAGTAACATCGATATTAGACCACCAAGAATAAATAATTCTTTCTGTTCATTGAAAGATTGAGTAATTAATGATATATCTTCATTCATGATATTACGTGAATTCCCTTCTTCGCTGCTATTGGTAGCTTCTCACCTCTGAAGAAAGGATTGGTCTCCTGAAACCGACAGAATAATTCAACAGACACTCAAACTCATGCACTGATGTAGAATCGTTGAGGATTTTTTTCCATGCAGACAATTTACCTGAAATTGTTCGACAATTTGATCAAATTCGGAATTTGGAATTTGAACGTTTACCATTTCCCGATCACTCCCTGAATCGTTGGAGCAGTCAATCATGTGTTCTGTGTCGCACATGCAGTCTTGAGCGCTCTGGTAATCTCGACTGAATGCTGCGGTGTTTTCAAAATCTTCGATGCAATGATTTTGACCTAGAGGAGATAGACATAGAGACAGAGGCAATTTTAAGCCTGTTTTTTTTATTGGAGAAAAATCGGAAAATTGATCACTCTTCTAGAGGAAGAGAAGATTCACAATTATTTATCAATTATTCACTTATTCATCTTTATCGTTGGTTAAGGATGTCCAAGTACTTTGGCTATTTTTTCTCCAGTGAAGTCCTTTTCTACTTTTGCATTCCAACATCAGACCAATGATTTTATTATTTCAACTTTGCAGGACTGAACCGTTAAAAAACATTTAAAAATATGAAAATAAATTTAAAAGTTTACTTTTGAGGAAAGATTGACGAAATAATTTAAAAATTGCAATTTTTTAAATTTACGAATATTTCCTGTGAATAATTATAAACAATCAATTTGCCACCATAAAATTTTTTTTGTTGGAATCATCAGAAACATTGTTTAATTTTGAATATGAAAATTTCAAAATTTTAAATTTTTTAAACGCAAAATTTTTTTTTCACCCAATTTAATTGACAAATTTGACGATTGAAAATGCTTGATATCCTTAGGTATTTTTTCCATGTATCATTTATTAACTTTTCGCCCTAAAGAGAGGAAGTAATTGCAATTACCCGGAGAAACAAATGTGGACCGACCGGTCCTGATGTTTTTTCTAACGCATCTATGAGTGCATGAAATGTGATGCATTTGAAATGTGAACGAATCAAGAAAACGAAGCTCCTCACATGATTTACAAATACACTAACCGGTATGCCCAATGGGGCAGGGATTTGGTGGTGTGCAGTAAGCCGGCAAGGTATTCTCAGTCTTCTCATCCTTGACTCCCTTGAGGCCAGCCAGCTGAACTCTATGCCGATTATCCCCATTGTCATTCAATCTCTGATGTGAATTTAATGTACTGTGACGAAGATACTCCTGATCCCTTATACTTGGATTTGGATTGAGTGTCTCAATCCCTTCGTAATCAATCGGCATCTCAGCCGGTATTTCTTTGGCTTTATCGTAGTCGTCAGTGCCACGAGCTTGGTCTTGATAATCTATGTATGAATCAGCTGCTTCAACAAGTTCGTTACCCATGCGATCTATTATGTCGCGAAGTAGTAGCTCTGATAACAGGTGGTCCTGGAAAAATTTCATGTGCCGGCGTAAACACAAGAATTTGAGGCCTGTGAGTTTCGAGGATGTAGCGTTTTGGGTCTTATGAGCGCCTCATACAGAAGTTTGAGTCGTATGAGCATTGAAAATGTGAATTTGAGGCTTGTCAATGTTGAATATACACAACATATTCACAAGCCAATTATTAATTCATAATACGCTTCGAGTATAATCCGTCGAATTGGTTATTTGGAGTCGTTGTGAGCCAGCGGATATCTTAATCAGAGTTTTATGAGCGTTAAATATAGGAGTTTGAGCAGCATGAGTATCTTTGATAACAGGTAGTCGTAGAAAAATTTTATGTGTGGGCGTAAGTACAAGAGTTTGAGTCCCGTGAGTTTCGAGGATGTAGCGTTTTGAGTCTTATGAGCGCCTCATATAGAAGTGTGAGCCGCATGAACATTGAAAATGTGAATTTGAGGCTTGTGAATGTTGAATATATAGCGGTTCGAGTATTATGCATCAAATTGGTCATTTAGAGTCTTTGTGAGCCAGCGGATATCTTAATCAGAGTTTTATGAGCGTTAAATATAGGAGTTTGAGCAGCATGAGTATCTTTGATAACAGGTAGTCGTAGAAAAATTTTATGTGTGGGCGTAAGTACAAGAGTTTGAGTCCCGTGAGTTTCGAGGATGTAGCGTTTTGAGTCTTATGAGCGCCTCATATAGAAGTGTGAGCCGCATGAACATTGAAAATGTGAATTTGAGGCTTGTGAATGTTGAATATATAGCGGTTCGAGTATTATGCATCAAATTGGTCATTTAGAGTCTTTGTGAGCCAGCGGATATCTTAATCAGAGTTTTATGAGCGTTAAAGATAGGAGTTTGAGCAGCATGAGTATCTTTGATAACAGGTNGAGTCGTTGTGAGCCAGCGGATATCTTAATCAGAGTTTTATGAGCGTTAAAGATAGGAGTTTGAGCAGCATGAGTATCTTTGATAACAGGTAGTCGTAGAAAAATTTTATGTGTGGGCGTAAGTACAAGAGTTTGAGTCCCGTGAGTTTCGAGGATGTAGCGTTTTGAGTCTTATGAGCGCTTCATATAAAAGTGTGAGCCGCATGAGCATTGAAAATGTGAATTTGAGGCTTGTGAATGTTGAATATACAGCGGTTTGAATATTATGCATCAAATTGGTCATTTAGAGTCTTTGTGAGCCAGCGGATATCTTAATCAGAGTTTTATGAGCATCAAAAATAGGAGTTTAAGCACCATGAGATGTGTATATGTCACGGAGTAGTCTCTGATATCATGTGGTTCTAGAAAAATGTCATTTTTTCCACCCAAAATTCACTCCTCACCTTCATTTCTGGTATATACATTGTGCCCTGAGCCGTTGCAATGATTGCAAGAATACCCAATAAGTACATTTCTGGAACAAGTTGAAAAAGAGAATCCTTGAAAAGCGATTCTTCGTGAACAACATCAAATTAATAATTACCTCAAACAGAAATCAAATTTTTCAATGATTAAAAATACTTACTCGTGGATTTGTGCTGTTTTATTTATCTTCAAGATGTTGTGGAAGACCTCTGTACCGTGAAGAACAGAAGAATGTCAACATTTAAACTGGCTGAATCGTACTTTACATTATTTGAATGGATCTAATGATAATTATCGCGTAAACACTTGCCTCGTTGATGGACTCTGATGATGCCGAGATATCAGATGATGATGTGCTGATAATTTCGGTGTTAGAATCAGAAACAGACGCGATTATTCTTCCGTTGTGCTACGTGGAACAGGACTGGCGCCCTGCCTCGACACAAAGCTGTATTAGAGTATTGATTTGACCGGTCTGGTCGTGATATAAATGTGGGCTTTTATTTTACGGTGGAAAAATATTCAACCACCCACATGTGGGTCTCCATCATCCGCATCATTGGGATGAATTCATCACGTAACGAAATGTGAATTGATTGTTAATTGTTCAAACGCAAAAAAAAATTAATAAAAAGACATGCTTTTGCGGCTTTTAGGATTTTTTAAGCGCAAAAAAATCCTTGCTACTTTTTATTTATTTATTTTCATTAGTCGAAATGTTGTTGGGGTATTTGTCGGGCTGATTTAATGCTTGGGGAATGGAGAATAACGCAAAACACATTATTGGGTCTGCGGGATGGAGTCCAGAGTGAGGGTTCGCAAGATCAAAGGACCCTTTTCAGTCTCGTTACGTCAACCGAAAAGCAGGTCGGTTCGCGGTGTTTCCTGGAAAACGTTTCACTCCATTGAAGTTTGAGAATAATAAACAAGACGATAACTATCATTTACGCAATTTTTAATTTTTTTATTTGCGAAATTCGGAAATATTTTTATTATTTTCAGTTCAGAAACTGAAAATCTTTTTTTTTGTGTGTATTAGGGATTAATGGGGCAAAATGGGTCGTTTTTAAATTTCCATCAGATCATTAATTAGTGTAATTAATTATTCATTTTTGAGATCTCGAGAAAGAAAGAAAAATTGTTTTAAAAAATTCTTTAAAATGTGTATTGAAAATTAGTGGGGCAAAATGGGTCGTTTTTTCATATTGTGAGGAAGCTTTATTCACTATTGACACTATTCATTTTAATCGGACACTAACTGTTGAGTTCATGATTAAAAAAAAATTGAAAAACATCAATTTTTAGATAAAGATTTGTTGTGCCTCGTGATGAACTGACGATTGTAACAAATTTTTCAGTCCTTTAAATAGTAAGAGATTGACTAGAAAAAGAGAATTCTAAAAAGTGGATTTTTTTTCATTTGGGTGATTTAAAAATTGCGTCAGAATTTTGTTTTCACTGTTGAAAACCTGAGGGATTTGAACTGCATTGTTGAGCCCAGCACTTGCAATGCCAAGGATGCCAGACCACCCAATGGCATTATATGGACGTACAGCAAGTCGTATCGGTGTTAACCATTCCGAGAATTTTATCACCCATGGAGTAACAGAACTCCGTAAATCCCGTCAATAAAATTCCCCGTCAAGCCCTAATTTTTCTTTATAAAGCGCAATTTTTCTTTATTTTTTCTTTATTTTTCATTCATCCGAAAATTATAAGTTATCGAGATGAATTCCCGGAGCATTGAGAGCGATGAAAATAAAATAAAAATCCATGTAAAAAGATCAATAAATAAATAATAATAAAAAACCTCAAAAATGAAAAAACTTCCACCGTTCTTCTTTATTTTTCCTCAATTCAAAAATTATAAATCGAAATAAATTCGCCGAGGTTTGAGAGTGATAAAAATAAACTAAAAATCCTCGAAAATGAGAGAAATTCTTCCCCACGTGGTCGCCCAGTTGCCAATTTCATCATCTAATGAGTTTCCTTTCCCAAAATACAATTATTTATAAAAATGTTTAAAAAACTGAAAGCTATCATGAAATCTGTCTTTCCTCTTCATTTCTACTTAATTCATAAATTATAATTCAGAATAAATTCGGCGAGCTTCGAGTGCGACAGGAATAAAGTAAAAATCCTCGACAATAAAAGAAATTCTTCATCACGTGGTCGCAGAGTGGCGAGAGGGCAAGGTCGCCAGGACAATTGAGCCGGTGTCTGATACGTAACGCACCTCATCTCCTGGCCATCAGCGTTTACCACACTCTACAGATGGCACCCGCGGTACACATGAACAGCAATTGTACACACGTAAGTGCAATTCCCACTCGCCTCCACCCACCAGTGCCACCACCTCTGCTGTTACGTTGAGATTCTCGCAGCGTCATGAGTATTGATCTAGCACTGAAACGAGTCGTCCTACCACCCAACGACTTTCCTTTGGCCACTATATGAATGAGCCATCCCCCAACCACCCCCACCACCCCTCACCGCCCCTTAGTCACTACAATAAAAATTCCATTCGTATTTATTCGCTTTCTTTTTCATCGCATTTGAAATTTTTCGGTTTTTTCTTCATTCTTTTTTTTTTTATTCACTTCTTTTTATTCGTTTATATTTATTTTCTTTTGTCGACGATTCGTGACCCCTAGAATCATCCTGATACGTTTTTGAAAACATGTGTGTGTGTGTGTGTTTGAAATTAAAAATTTTTCAATCTTTGGAATTTTTTTTTTATTTTTTTTGTTCTTGTTTTCTCTTCATTGTCAATTTGTTCAAATTTAATTTGTTTATATATATTTAAAGCGAATATATTCGTTTACATTTAGTTACAAATTTATTTATTCATTTATTCATTCATCTCATTAAAATTCAGTAGCGAAGTGATACAAGTCAATTTTGACTATTGACCAGTTTTCAATGAATATCTCGGAATCTAAGAGAGATGGCTAAATTTTTGTTATAACCTTTTTTGTAGAGCCAGTTGAAAGCTACAACAAATGTAATTACGAAAATTTCGCTATCTCCCGTGGATTCCGAAATATTCCTCAAAAACTCAACTGGGAGTTGACTCGACTTAAACCGTTTTACCACTTCGCTACTGAATTGTTTTAATTGTTCAATTTTTTACGATTTATCAATTTTCTTTCCTCATTTCTGCATTTTTGGTGTTGAAGGACGTTAATTATTTCAGTTAAATACGGAAGAAAAACTGAAGGGTTGATTTATGAATTTTCAACTTTTCATTCTGCCGTTATTAATTAGCGAGATAATGACACAATTACCGAGTGAATCCCAGAATAATTGAATTTCGAACCTAATCGAAGTGGAATTGATTGAATTAATCAGGCAACTTCAGTTGATTATTTCATTATTGAATCAACAATTTGATTAATTAGGGGGGTTATGAAATCGTCTCCCTGTTTCTAAATTATTTCAATTTGTCTTGAAATTACGAATCAGTTCAGGAAAATTTCTGCGGCGCTGGGACATGTGCACTGATCTCCCCCCCAAGGCTGGATGGAAATTAATGATCCTGAGGTTGAAGTCATGATGATTAACCCCAATGACGTGTTAATATGAGTGGAGAAATTGTTGAGGTAGAGGACACGGAGTGACTATTCTGCGAGAAAGTCATGGAGATGAGTTGAAAAATTTAAACAAATTTATTTTGAAGGTGTTTTGAATCCCAATTGGCTTCACCAAAAAATTCCATTAGAAATTTTTTTCGTCAGTATTGAAGTGATAACAAGACGGAAAATAAATTATTAACATTATTAACAATTATTATTAACCCATAACAATGATTGATTAATAATAATTTATCAATAATTACTAACATTATTATTAACAATTATTCCTTCAATAAATTGACAAATTTTCATTGATATTGAACTCATCTTTGACTTTACGCTTGAGCTCCCCAAAAATTAATGATCACTAGTGAACGATTGTTTTCCTAATTTTGTTAATAAATTAGACATCTGAATCCGCTGTCGTGGCGATCGACAATTATGGCCCCCACCTGGACACCCTCAGAACCCTATTCGTCTCCTCCCTGGAGAATCGAATATACGAAGCGCTCGAGACGTTTGTGTACAACGACGCTGAATTATTATCGAAATTTCCCAACCTGAGAAGATGCCTCAACATCTTCAAGCTCTTCAAGACAATTTATCAAAGCACGAGGGACCCAGAGGCGGGAGTAATCGACCGATTGCTCAGTTACACCTTCAAGCACCTCATCAAGGACGGCTTAATAACCTGTTTTCTCAACGCAATTCTCCTGAACAATCGTCTCAACAGAGTCTGCAGAGACCTGGACTCGATGAGCGTGGACAAACATTTTTTTAAATTCTTGAAATTTCCTGGAGTCCTGTGCAGGACTGACGAAGCCCTGACGATAGAAACACTTCCTGAGTCAACTGACACCAAAAGAGCTGTTAAAAGGAAAGCCTCAGAGGATCCTGATGATCCAATCGTCGATGAGAGATCATTCGTCACTTTGAGCCCAGCGAAAGCCAAGAATTCTGATCATAAGAGGATTATAAATAATGCCTCGTCCTGTGGGCCTTCCACCTGCTCATTCTACAGGTCCAGAGCAGCTAATTTATCTACTGATTTTTATGAGAAAAATCTCAAACTCAAGATTGATAAGAGGAATGCTGATGGAGTTGGTGAAACGAAATTGAAACTTCCTTGTCAGTCAGAGGACATAATCGAGGATTTAATTACTTCTGATCCCTCTGTGATGATCTCCTGCATTGGAAATGTGAAGAGGAAGTTTAAAGCGCAGATCAGGAAGATTTGTACTGTTGTTAATAGGATTTTGGGGAGGATTGATAAGAAGAGGGTGAAGAAATGTGTTTTGTACTGTAAAATTCTTGGGAGTTCTATTTTATTCAGATTGAAGCAGAGGGGGAGGAATGGCTCGAGGTCCTGTTTGTTTTCTGATCGAGTTGTCACGGGGGAAGCGTCGAAGCTATCAGCAGAAACAGTAGTACCAAAACAGGGAGAAGAAAATGGGAGAATTGAGGAGAAGAGTCAGAGTTTGCATTCAAATGCGGAGAACTCTGAGGAGACATTTTATTCCGGGGAAGATTCTGCGGATTGGAGAGTCATAAAACGAGGGATTTCTGTGGGTCGAAGTGATGATGACGACAACAGAGATGTTGAGTCCAGCGATAGCAGACTGGATATAGCACGATGCAGCTCTTTTTATTCGTGTGGGTCTTTCGAGATTTCTGAAGCGAGCAAAACGGAGTGGCACAGTGCTTGCAGCTGTATTGAAGACACCTCCGACAATTTTACCGAAGGCTCCGAACAATCTCGCGATTCTACTAATCCACAATCAGAAGAGGAAGAACAAATGCTGAAGGGAAAATTACTGAACATTATGAAATCCGATCTCATTGAACACGA